CACTTTAACAATATGCCAAATTTTTGCCAGAAAATAACAGGCAGATAACCAGGATGCACGATTGCCATGTTCCAGGGGGTCTATTAAGAGGTTACACATGAACAGAAATACGTTGGGTGGACAGTTAAGGAGTGAAATCTTGCTATCCGGGGTCATGGTATACTTGCGGTGAGGGGGCACAATGCAAGCTCATAGTTAGAAAAAACCCTGGGGTTTTGATGTGGGGACCGCCAGGCACCAACCTTGACAACATCAGGATCGATCTCACCATTGCAGGCGTCAAAGTACTTCTTGAGGTCTTGGTCACAGCACTCAAAGACCAGCGTGAGCCGTCGGTTGCAGTGCAAGACGTCGTGCAGGTGGACAATGTTCCTGTGCTTCAGTTCCTTCAGGAGGCAGATCTCCCGCAGTGCCGAACTTGGCACACCCTAAGCAAAATAATGCCAAACATATTCAAAGTATTAATTTTCAGGTACGTGTACTATATTTAGTCTAGCGTGTTTGAAACAAAGACATTTCAATACTCTTTTCAGTGGCTTAACTATGAGGGGGGGATGGTGCAGGGTCCTGTGAACCAGCAGAAGTCACCCCACTGCCCCAAATCTTAATATTAAAATGTTTGACCGATGCACAATCCACAAGACATATTTTTAGTGCCCTATTAAAAAAAGTGTGGCCTCCATCCCCCCTCCTTGGAAATTTTGCCCTATGAACAAGAATAAAATGTTAATTTTCTGAAATAGCCTTCACATAAATGTGAATCTGTTGTGTCCTGATCAAGGCCATTTTGAAATCTGATATATCATCTCATATTTTGTAACAAAGATAACAGACATGAAGCTCACCTAGGTGAAAACAAAACAAATCCAAACTGTCAAATCTTGGCTTTCTCAGTGCATGCAAACCCAGTGGTGAATATGACAAAATGATTGCACGGGAATGTGCATGCCCCATGAGCAAATTGCATTTATACCGGTAGTCATGATTTCCCTTTAAGCATACTATGGTACATACAATTTCTAATTCCCCTCCCCCCCCCAAAAAAAATAAGACCCCAAGAAAAACAAGTTGGAGAAAAAATTTTGAAATAAAATGTAACATTATGACTCTGTGACACCAAATCTCACCTCATCATCATCGTCCAGCCTGACTCTCTTCAGGGCTACAATTTCCTGCGTTTCCTTGTTCTTAGCTTTAAAGACAGTACCGTACGTGCCTAGACAATGGAACAACATTAGACGGTGATCATTGGTCGTTACAGAGTGTATCCGCTTCATAAGTGACTTTTTCATACACAGGGACGCGCCACGATTCAAAGGCTTCGATTGGACCATCGCTGAAGTTACACGTTAACCTCTGGTTCCGTGGTTTCATGTAAACAGCAATCATTGCATACATTGTATGTGCAGTGCATGTGCAGTGGGAGCGGTTTAACCTGAAGTGACGTCACACTTACGAACCAGATTGAGGCCAACGGTGAGAACGATTAGTCAGGTGGTACGTAAATTGGGTTTCTGCAAAATAGTTTGATGGACTCACGATAGTATTGCTGTATTAGTACCGCTCCATCATGCAGCACAACATGAACACAGGTTACCAGCCAGTAAGCAGAGTATAAGTAAATGGAACAGCTTTGTGACCCTGGTGCACTGCCGCCTCTAGATATACATGTACAATTCCACATGAACAGCGACTTTCTGAAGCTTACACCAGTAACTGATACTGTTTTCCGCATTGAATTTGACTGCCTGTTTACACATGGAATATGATTTCGTACCCGGAATTGAGTTACATGTATCACAATGTCTGAATCTTCAGCCATAGAGGAAGGACACAGGAGTTTGAACTGCCCAGGCTGTAACATCTGGCCAATTACCACTTTCTGGCATGCCTGGTACATGTATGTCCATAGCCAGAGCGCAGCAAACGCTTGCTACGCACCACCTGTTTCACAACCACAAAACCCCTTTGTACCCTATGATCGCCGCCATAATTTGTCGATGGTAATCTGCATCCTTAAAACTTTGTGCAGTTCTGAGGTAAAGGATATTGAATATTCATGCCTTTGTTGGTGCTCGGTATGATCTCATGACAACATCCAATTTAATGCTTTCCCGGTTGCTTGTATTACGCTGTGTGCCCTAAATTTACATGTATATGTGCAGTCATTGCCCTTAATGAGCTCTTTCCTCTGGAGTTATTTTGGGAATAAATAGCCCAGTTGTTTACAAGATTTTGTGTTTTGTTTGAATCATTTTTATTATGGCATTTGTACAAAAGCGTATTTTAAGAGATTCACGATCACTTCCTGTAATGAAATAGTGCATTTTGTTCCTAATGAACTAAGCTTTCAAGCAGTAGTGAACATTTTGTTGGCCAGTCTTAGCCAAATTCATACCAAGTCTTTGAACACTGAAGTATTGAACGGAGGAGAATAAAATTACAAACTCTGCATGGATAATGGAATAGTGTATCAAAGTGTTAAAAGTTTATTTACAATGGCAAAAGTAGGTAGAATATCATGGATTTTTCTCTATATCCTGTCACAGTGATAATTTGTATTTAATTGCAAGCAAAAACAAGCAAAAAGTATTGCTAGGATTCTACTGGCACGGGTTGTTTGGCTAAGATGCAGGCAGTAATCTGGCATTTTTGGAATGTTTTCTATTATTCATCTGACTTGGCGAAAACCATCATTGAACACTTTGAAGAGCCTGAGTTGCAACTCCTTCTGTGTCCTTCCTCTATGCTTCAACATATAGGCCTACACTATTTTAAAAAAGGGGGGTCTGGGCATTTAGGTGGGTCGGGAGGGGGGATCAACAAAAAATTTTTTGGCGGCCTAAACATGTGAAAGAAAAAAGGTTTGGCCTAGGCCTACATGTACATAGGCAAGCATGATAGGTTAGCCTAAGCCTCTTGCCATACATGCCGTAGGCCTAAGTATGGTCACACTGACAGTGGTTTGTACTAAGCAATGTTGTTGTGGGACAATGCAATAATCATGGTAATGGGTGGTCCTGGCCCAAGACTGGTTTTACTATTTTGGCCGGTGCCCCATGCATCACATGTGCTGGTGAGCACAGCTGAATAGCACTACCATTAGAAGGCGCTACATTCACAAGAATTCAAAAATTCTAAGCAAACCTCACACTCACAGTCACACACTCAAGTTCATGAATAACAATGCACATACGCACTGCCCATGTGCAATTAATTTGAGCGTGTGAGTGTGCTTGGAATTAATCTGATAAATCACGTAAACCTGCCAGAATGTACATGTACAAGACTGGTTTTCTGGCAGGTCCCCTCTTGTGAATCTAGCATCCTCAACATGTACAACGTTAGTACTATCATGCTATTCTGCTCGGGGGTGCATTCCACCAAATGGTTGTATTTCCGCACGCGAGCTCATTAATATATTCGTAATCCCACAGGATTTTTACAGTAAGACAGGCCATAATCAGGAGGCATCATAGAAATATTTCTATTAATCCCGAATTTAGGACTGATAGTTTCCAGTTCGGGGTATTTCTTTCACAAAAGCCCCAAATTGCAGACCTATTTTGGATAGAGGTGGGCAGCTACATTTAGAAGTGAGCACTTAGTTCTACTGCTATTTGGGGGTATCTTCGTTCAAAGGCGAATGAAAAAAAATTCACGGCTAACCCCTGTGAAATTGAAACGAAAAGTGATCTTCTGGCCGTAATCTTGAATTTCCAGTGAAAAAACGGAGGCCAACCTATTCACGAGAGTCAACAGGCGGCGCTATTTCGGTCCGATTTTGCACTGTTTTCTATGGGCGCGTATTGGCGTAGTGCAACCCTGAGATCGTAGCCAGCGCTACCCCCAGAATTGTGGAGTCATGATGGGGCACCGACAAAAAGAGTAAAACCAGTCTTGGGGCAAGACTGGGGTAATGGGGCGCAGTAGCGACAACTGGAAGTGACATAGGGCGAAAGGGGGGCAAAACGAGACCTTGTGCCGTATTTGTTAGGCCCCTATGTTTGAAAAGTGTTTTCTTTTCATCGGCCTTCCTTGTCCGTAAACTGGGCCACAGAGCCGATAACAATGGAGAACAACATTTTCTCCGGTTTTCATAATATCTGTCTGTGGGTTTCCTTTTTGGATAACTTACCTTCTCCGATTTTCTCTAAACGTTCAAATTTCTGCATGATTGATCAACAGCCAAACGTTGACAGCAATTCTTGCTCGCCGGAGCGGCGCAATAAGCTGCAGCTGCAGTCACAACATCAAAATCCATCCAACACAGGGCGATGGGCGGAGCTTTACCGTCTCATATACGGCGAGGCCCATCAAATATGGTGGCCCACAACTGTCATAGCAAAACCAAACCTCAAAGCAAAAGCGTCACAACAAAAGCGCCAATCTTCAAGAATTCTACCTTTTTTTGTACGCACAGTGTGTTTTTCATGATTATTGCAGCCTTTATTTGGCACTTAATACCGCCTCCCCACATCTTGGTGTATGTGATTAAATGTGCCTTCATATTACCCTTTTTCCATTTATATCTAACTTAATTATTCTCGTATTTTATCAAACATCGTTCGTGTACCGACCCTCAATACATAATTCTATGAATATACTGAAAATTAATGTTGAGATGAAACTAACTGAAGTTCATGGAAATATCGAGATTTTGCTGACCAGTCCTTTATAAAAATGCACAAATAACGAAAATTAGTTCAGTCCTTGACCGTGCACAAATGAGCTGTGACGGGAGCGAAGATCACCCCCAGTAGGAATGACCGGGCTTGAGACGAAATGGCGGGGGCCTGATGACCGTCGCAAATACAGGGACTTAAATAATGATCAGACAAGCTGGACCTAGTACCTAGGTTCAGTTCGCAAACTGTCTCTTAGCTTGCGGAACAAATTCAGGTCTGCACTTCACCTGGTCTGGACGAACTTTTTATACAAATGTCGCTCCACAGGCGACTCGCCTCCACTGGTTGAAATGCTGCAGGAGTCAACGACTCGACTTCTCACAGCCCACGTGTGTGTACCACGGTCTCCCCCTCTCTCCCCTCCCCCTAGCTCTGTCCATCAAAGCCCGTATTCTATAGTCTCCAACTCTTCTAGACATTTCTTATCGTGACGTAAGTTTCTAAATTACCCGTCCGTATTCTCATAACAGACTTCCGGACGTTCACTACATATACAAAAGTTATAGAAAAATTTTAGAAAATTCTAGAGAATAGTATTAGTGAAGTCATTTACTAGTGCGGCCTGGGGTCAAACGCCGGTCACAAAAAGGTTTGAATGGTTGTGTACAGTGTGAATCATGTCGAATTTGTAAAAAATAGCATATTCAAATTCAGAAGGCTATATACATGTATACGTTCATGCTAACTGATCAATAGCACGGCTCACGTGGCTCACTGTATACATTTTGGGTATTCAATACAAGGATGGATCCTAAATTAGTGGGTTTTTTTAAATTTGTTTTGTTTTTGTTTTTTGAGAGGGGGCCTTTTGTGGGAGCAAAGATTTGGAATTATTTTTCATGTAACATTTTATGGCCTTTGTAGGGGCAATGCAATTTTGGATGGAAGAGAAATGAAGGAATTAGACCAAATAAATCACTTTTGTCTCATAACGGACTCAGCAGACCCAAGAAGTGACATTGTTTAAGACTGATTACTTTTGACTTTCTTAGATGTTTCATTGACCAACAATAAAAAAGAAAGTCTAACCTCATTTACACAGGTTTTTATCTTTAAATGAAATTGCAAAGGTAATGGGTTCGCGCAAAAGACTGTAGAAATTTTCGCAGAGACTATTCCAAGAAGATCAACAAAAACGGGCATGCCATAACTATGAAATGGAGCTCCCTCTACCTCACATATCCCAATTCAAGGTGGAGGTGTTTGAAAAGTACTCTTACAGACGCTTTCGAAAAGAGGAATTTGTGTGGGCTAGGAAATTGTGGGATTGTGTATGGCCCAGGATCATCTCTATAGATTCAGGGGCTCCCGTCTGGGGGAAAGCAGACAAAAGTGTTATCGGAAAATTGTCAGAAGAGCCTAATAAGGTGGAAGGATCCTGAGAAGACTTGGGAACGTTCACTTTTGGGGGGGTGAGTTTGTTTTGGCGGATAAAAAAAATCATTGGTTAACCTACTAAAATTTGAAAATCAGATTTTGTTGATTTTACACTGTTTCCAACGGAGCTTGAATTAGTTCAGTGCACCCACATGTCCTCGCAGGAGACCAACACTAATGAATTGAAAAAAATGGACACGTATCATGCTTATTCGGTCTGAGTTGTAGCTCTATGGTCTGAGTAAAAATAGGACGCCACTCACCGGACTATACAATGGAAAGTAGTTCCAGTTGTTTTGGAGCAGACGACAGCACTCTCACGCAGACATGGCAAAATCTGATTGGCGGAATGTTTTGAAGGTAGAAAACAATCCGCTCCCGCGTCTTGCATTTTTTCAGTTTAAAGACAAGAAATCATATTCCTAGTAGTTGTGGTAAACTGCTTTAATATTACTGAATTTTAACAAAAGTGTGAAAAATAAATATATATTCCTCTTTTTACGGAAGTAAATTTGGGGCCTATATTTTTAGCGTATTTATATTATTTCTGATTGGTGCTTCGCATGTGCTTCGCATGCACCTGTTTCCCGCATGTGTGTACATTTTCAATTTGTACACTTCGTAGGCTTACGTGTTGTAGCCAAAATGCTTCCCCGAAACCTGCTGTATTTCGTCGCCCTTTTGGGGCTCCTTGTCGTTTTTTGTCCTACTATCCGGAGCGACGACGATGAAGCTCCAGTGGAAGTGGATCAGGGTAACATGAGCTTCGTTCTTGATTTTGAGACTACTCCTAGTCTCGGACGTATATTTTGGGAATCGAATATTGCATTGCATCTTTATCGTGATAAAATACAGAAACGTTAAAATCAATGTGAAGATGTGTCATCTGACTGAGTCTCGACAGAAGGATGATGATACTGTAGGGTTTGCGGACTTTTTACCCAATTTCAATAACTGTTAAACGATAGCTCCCGGCATAATAGGCCCAGCCAGGTCATTGCAAACTGGATAGGCATAGGATAACCATGGAGGTAGAATCTGATTCTACCTCCATGGGATAACTGACTAGGCCTACATGTACATGTACTAGTAGGCATTCAATAGTTTTTCGTAGAAATTAGATTTGAAAAAAACTGAGACATATGCAATAAAACTCTTAGTGGAATACAATCTATCAAAGTCAAAGTAGTAATGTGTTATTTCAGCATTTTATGCAAAATGCATAGGATGCAGAACTAACACAGGACTAATTGGGAATTTGGAATTCAGATGTTTGGAGGTCTGCATTAGTCATGTTAGTTTTAAGTGCAGTCTTGACACTGGCACAAATTTAGCGTATGCCATCCTGAGTTGATTTGCCTTTGAATAACATCCAATCATAGGATAATCAACTCAGAAGAGAGTACAATAAATCTGCTGAAGGTTCAAGATTGTGCTTAACATTAGAAAAGTTTCAGGCCTGTGGGGCCAGGCTCCTATTACGTAATTGTGACAGTTTTTATTTTCATTAAAAGTAAATCTAACAACTGCTGTTGTTTCATTGTGCAACCTCTCAGTCACGGATGATGATTTGAATCTAGGAGAGACAGTCATTTTGGATGAGGACACTCTCATGGATGATGAGGATGACAATGACGATGATGACGATATGCCAGAGGTGACAGAAGAAGATGGAGTCCTTGTACTCACAAAGGACAACTTTGATGATGTTGTCATGAAAAAGGACATCATTTTGGTGGAGTTTTACGCCCCATGGTACGTGTATACCTCCAACTTCTGTTCCCTGGTTTCTGGAATAAAGTGTGGGCGTTGTCAGAACTTTTTCTGCCGGGGGGAAGGGAAGGAAACGCTCATCAGGTCCGAGCTTATGAACCAGTAACAGTGGAATGGGATCAATAGAATTATTTTTCTCCAAGCAATTGGTGGTTGTCATCTCCTTTCATCTCTTCATTCTTGTTTTGTTTGGGGGAAGGGGCGAGGGGAGAGGGGAAAAAATGTCCCTTGCTCTCCTGTTGCAGCGTTCATAGAATAAGGAGTCCATTGTACAGTAAGCTCAAGTTACCTTGAAAGGTTATCAGGTGTCAAAATTGTTGGCACACTACCAACAAACTGATATGTGTCCGAACGCAAAATTTGTTTTTTGCAAGCATGAAGCTTTGTTCTTCAAGGGATGCATTTTTGAGGGGTGTTTCCCCTCAAAGGAAAAAACATTGAAGGAAACATTTGAAGAGGGCATCAGCCGCCAAATGAGGGCAATAAAGGCATAGATTCATGTACATGTAGGTCTCATTTAATTGTAAGCTTGGATGGCATTTTCCTCAAATTTGCATTTGGAATGAGCTCCATACCGGGACACCATCTGACGACCTGTGCACAAACTGTATGAGACTGGTTGGAAACCTTTGTTAGCTCTAAGTACATGTAAATGCTTCAACAGTTTCCCTGGGAAATCTAATTTTAAGGACATGCCATTGCTTTCTGATAACTGATGCGTCACTGCAGGGAAAACTATATTGATGTCCGTCTGTGGAGTTCCTCCCTCAGACCTGTGGGGAATCATTCTTCACATGGGCACTTTCTGCATCTGTACTTGTGTTGTCTCTCAGGTGCGGTCACTGCAAGAATCTGGCCCCAGAGTACGCTAAGGCAGCCCAGACACTGAAGAAGGCAGACCCTCCTGTCCCGCTGGCGAAGGTTGATGCCACTGTGGACAGTGACCTGGCGCAGCGATACGAAGTGTCAGGATACCCGACCCTCAAAATATTCAGGAAGGGGGAAGTTTCCAACTATGAGGGGCCCAGGGATGAGTCAGGTCAGTGGCAGTGTTCCAGCACTCAAACTGGAACACTCAAAGTTAAAAACTTGTGCTCTTACTCAAGCACTAGGCTAGTTATTATTATTTTGCTCCACATTGCATATTGTTGATACATGCTTTTGAGAGGAACTCACCAGATGTGTGCACCGGTTCGTGCACACTTAACTTGCAACATGCTGACCACGCTCGCCCAAATTCTTTTGAACTTACTTGAGCTGTGCGTACACTTTTTGTGTGTATATGTACATGGATGCTGGTTGCATCTAGGACCTTGTTTGAAATCACCCCAACTACATGTACCTGTCTGTACTGATGAGGGAGTGCTTCTAGGCATAGCAAATTTGGTACCGGGGTGTAATTCAGTAATACATTCAGAGGGGCAACTTTCGATCAGCTTATCAAAAATCACTTTTTGCACATGAAGGCTTCACTCTCAGAATGCACAAAAACAGCCACAAACTTCTCAGACCAAAAATCTCAAATACTCAAGTGTACAAGCCACCAGCAATGCTGGATGAGGTGCAAAGGTGCATGGATACCTGAAACACCATTTTAGCATATTTCTAAACTGTACAACCGTTTCATGTATAAATATTAATTAATTTATTATTAATTTTACATCTCCTCTTCACAGGTATTGTGAAATACATGAAAGAGCAGTCAGATCCCAACTGGGAGCCCCCACCAGAAGCAGTGATAACTCTGACCTCTGAGGACTTTGATGACACAGTCAATGAGGCTGAGCTCATCCTTGTAGAGTTCTACGCCCCTTGGTAAGTAGACTTAAGCCAAAATCACAAGCTGACATACACTGTTGGCCTACCCTTGATTTTCATAACCAGTTTTTATTATTAAAATTTTGTCGTTCATTATTTTGATTTCTTTCTTTTTTTTTTTTTGCTTTTTTTTAACAATAACTTGTGAGAAAAACACAGGAGAGAGCTTCTAATGTTGTATATGTAATTCCATGTTAGAAGCTTGACTGTTTCACACCTAAGGATTGTCAAGCACCCATGAACAGTGCATATAGTAGAAACCGTGGCCCCTGTCAAAACAGCAGTTTTTGTAAACGCTGTTTCAGTACATTTCATTGTTTGTGCAAGTAGTGTTTAATTTTTTTTAATGTAAGCAGTTGTTTTGTTATTTGTTGTACTACTGACACCATCATTATGAAAAATATCTTCGACAGTGATGGATGCCATACATTCATTTCTTCGTTAGCATGCATTTATAATTCTAAACTTTGTTTTATTTTAAAATTCTTTCCCTTTTTTGAAATTCTGTGTTTGACAAGAAACAGTGCTCATCATGAATTCTTTCCATCCAAATCAGTAGGTACATATACGTACAAGTACATGCATACATCATTGCCATCTGGAGGTTTAAATTAGAAGGGAAAATTTTCAAATAATCAAATGGTAAGGACTGTTGTCTGTAGCATTGAAAGGACTGCATCATTTGTATTACTTGGATCATTAGATTTAATATTGATGATGTCTTCTCCCCTACTTGAAGGTGTGGCCATTGCAAAAGGCTGGCTCCGGAGCTGGAGGCTGCGGCAGGTGTCCTGAAGGACGATGACCCTCCAATTCCCATCGCCAAAGTGGACGCCACAGCAGAGAAGGACTTGGCCACGCGGTTCGGCGTGACCGGCTACCCAACCCTCTTCATCTTCCGGAAGGGGGAGAAATACGAGTACAAGGGTCCCAGGGAGAAGAGAGGTACATGTACAGTCACCGGATGTGTGATTTACAAGATGTAACCTCTTGCAAAATCTTTCAACTGCATCCATGTGAAAGTTGGAAACAGTCTTAGTCCTCCAAAATCTTCCATTACGTTTTGAAAGTTTTGCTTGTGAAGGTAGCCACTGCCTCAATCCTTCAAGAAAACTTCCTTGGAAAGTGGTAGATTGTTACCACTAAATGACTCCTTCTAGCAAAGCCCTTTGCGGGGTGTGTAGCAGTAGTGAGGCTTACTGTCGCAATCTCTTCCTCTAAACACTGAATCTCTCCCTCAGGAATCTTGGACTACATGAGGAAGCAAGCTGGAGATAGCTCTGAGCATCTGACTTCTTCCAGGGCCCTCAAGCAGTTCCTGGAGTTTCAAGATGACATCAGCATTGTCGGCTTCTTCAAGACAGAGGAGGAGAATCTGTACAAGGCTTACTTGGAGGCAGGTTAGTTCGCCAACCCCTTCCCCCCATTATTTTTTGGACTATAATTTCTCCAGGTTGCTGAGTTTGACTTTATTCACTTATAACCAACACTATCTAAAGACTGACAGAGGTGCTGCAATAAACCAATAGATTTAATTGTAAAAAAAAAGGTTTCCCACACTGACATCAAAGAGTTGTGGTTCTAAGGTAATGACTTGAGGGAAGACTACCGCTTCGGTCACACTTTTGACCACCAGTTGATGAACCAGTACAAGGTCAACCCCAACTCCATTGTCATCTTCATGCCAGAGAGGTTCCAGTCCAAGTACGAACCTAAGAGACACGTCTTTGACAAGGTGGGTTTGGTCATTGCCAGGGATGCAGGAAGTACATTGTACAAATCAGATTAAAAGTGCATGCTGTCTGCTTTATGCAGCACCAGACTAAATCCTCACCCATTGATTGGTGGGTCGTCAATCACATCTCACTGACTTTATGTTCATCAGTGCAGCCGTTAAATATACCCATGGGATGTACCACTTAAGTGTGTGTGGTGAGCATTCTGTACAACGCGTGTGGAAAAGGCCCCATTCAGTCTTAAAGACAAAATTATAGTTATGGCTGGGAATGTGAAAACTTCATTCTGTGCATTTTCTTCATGTTGAGAAAGTTTACTTAAGACATGTACACCAACCGAATTTACTCAGGTGTTGTACAAAGAAGATATAGATTTTTTTACATTCATACGCAAGAAAGAAATAATTTCAAGTGGAGAAATGAATTTAAATGTTTAGTTTACTGTTGCTTTGCCTTGTATGAAATAGAACAGGCAGTCTGTCAACTCATGAAATTATTCTTACCATTGCATGTTTGTGAAACATTCATTATAAGTGTTGTAAATCTTGTGCATATACTTACATTTGGATGAACCTGGTCTGCTACAGGCTGATGCATCTGCTGCCGAGATCCAGAGCTTTTACAGCGACAATAACAGCCCCCTGGTGGGTCACATGACCAAGGAAAACATGGACAAGCGATACAAAGATAGACCGCTGTTAGTGGCATACTACGATGTGGACTGGAGCTTTGAGCACAGAAAAAGTGAGACCCTTCGACTGTACTGGAACAGGGATTATTCACCATACAGTGTGACATTAAGTGATGGGAAATGGTCAACAAGTTACATCCACCAGCGCTGCCTAGGGAAACAAACTGATTTTCAATGTTTGTCAGGGAAGAAGATTCTTCTTATAATAAGTGTATTTTGAGTCAAATTTGAATTCATCCATTCCTGTTTCTACTACATGTACATTGAACGTCTCAATTTATCAAACATTTTGCCAAGTTGTCTGTTGATTCACGTTCAGATGGAAATCGCTTAAATACATGGCATTTGTTGATCATAAATTTGAAAATGGCCTCTCCGTGGCAACCTCTTGGTAGCACACGGTATTGTGAATCCCCCTAATCGAATCTGTTTTATACCAAGGAAATTACCTGAATATTGAGTTTTGATTGTTATCTTGTAGGAACAGCACATGTGAACTATTGGGGGCTACTTGGAATAAATTATGGACTGTGTTCTTAATCTTACAGTCTCTTTGTCATAATTTACGTACAGAAACAGAGATTTGGCGTCAGAAGATCCTAGCTGTGGCCAAAGACAAAGAGTACAAAGATGTCACATTTGCTGTCGCTCAGGAAGAGGAGTTTGAGGACCAGCTCAAGGACTTGGAATTGGATGACAGTGGGGAAGAGATTAACGTGGGCCTGTTTGCCGACGGGAAGAAATACAGGATGGAGCCAGACGAAGACTTTGACTTGGACGTTCTGCGCGATTTCCTGAAAGCCTGGAGGAAAGGTGAGTTCTCCAGAACACGTAGATAAGTTTTGAAAATGCAGTGCCAGGGCAGCTTTCCTTCACTAGTCAGTTGCTTCTTGCCACTCCTTACCCGGTGTATTCACCCATTGCAAGGATTCATCCTACATTTTGCTTCTGGTTTAACAGACAGTTTAACAGACATTGTTGAATCGGCTATTACTGTCTTTTCTCCAGAATCTGCTTCTAACATTCACACATGAATGTGGTATTTCTGTCAACCCTCAGGCAAACTCCAGCCTGTCATCAAGTCGCAACCTGTCCCCAGGAAGCAAACAGGACCTGTCACCGTCCTGGTGGGCAAGACCTTCGACAAGGTGGTGCGGGACGAGCGGAAGGACGTGCTGGTGGAGCTGTATGCACCCTGGTGCGGCCACTGTAAGAAGCTGGAGCCCACATACAAGAAGCTTGCTAAGAAGTACAAGGACCGCCACAGCGTCGTTGTGGCCAAGATGGACGCCACAGCCAATGACACGCCAACCGATTACAGTGCTGCGGGCTTCCCGACCATCTACTTAGCCAGAGCTGACGATAAAAAGAACCCGGTCAAGTTCGAAGGGGGGGACCGATCCCTTGAAGCACTGAGTAAATTCATTGAGGACAATGCCTCCACGCTGAAGGCAAAGAAAGCAAAGGAGGAGCTTTAATAGTAAATTTTTCTAAAGCCAAACTTTAAATCCTTTTTTGTCTTCAAAGTTAGGGACAGCTTTTAAATTTAACTTGTAATTTGTACTATCTGTTATGATGTTTAAGAGATATATATGTTAAAAAATATGGTTTGGAATTTGCAGATTGTCAAGGTTGGTACATTGGAAGGCAATTTACTGCCTTTATTCTCCTTTACCTCATCATGTGTTCTTGCTTGCCGTGTCGATGGCTGTGCCTTTGATCATTCAAGTCAATTAAATAGTCACCTTGGCAGAAAAATGTTTGACGAGAATTTTGCGGCCCGATTTAGCAAGAGTGTTCACCAGTAATTGGAAACAAGGGTACAGAAGAGAAGCATGCCGTAAAGATGAAAAGTAAAACCTAGGATGTTGAAGCATCTGAGAAGTGTTACAATCCAAACGTCTCCAAACTCTTATCGAACTTTGGTCATTGCAAGGTGCAACAAGATCAGACGAGAAGAAACTGTACCAGGAAAAAATGAATGATAGGACGCTCAAAAATCCTGCCCCTAACCTCTCTCCATCAGTATTTATACACTTTTAAGACATTATCTCAAAGTAAACAATTACATCTCCAGAAGTCACAATATTCTAGAAAAAAGCTGACCCCCTCCGTGAATGGTGCATGTGTATGTAAGAACAAAACTTTCCTGTATTTTCTTTGACCTGTAGAGACTCTTGAATTCTGATGTATGCTAAGGTCAAAAGGTCAGACCCATGCATCGCATGCTTGCATACAGTTGTACAGGTTAACTCTGTGTAGGGTGTGAAGACAAGGATTTGTAACGAGATAGCGCTTTCTTAGGCCCTTAAATGGTCATTGCTCTGAGTAACACCACATTTTGCTTTCAGCTTCTGTGCTTTGACAAGACTTCATGTAGCTTGCCCAGTGTCTGCAATTCTGTGCCATCAAAACTGCAATATTTTGATACTTAAGACAGATTTAAAAGTTGTCATTGAATGGTATGAACTGTACATCTCACTTTTGCTGTGTCCATGGAGAGTTGCATTTTGCCATTTAAAGTGCCCCCTTAAAATTGCGACCATTTTCAATTTTGTTCATTTTTTTGCTTTAAAAATCAGCTGTTGAGCCATTCTTGCAAACGTTTAGTTCAGCTTCATTTGAGCAGTGACATATTTTTCCTATTCTTTCGTACATTACTATATTCCTACTTTTCCCCTGTTTGTACATGTAGATTGGTACTGTTGCTGTTTTACAATTGAAGATCACTTCAATCGGGAAATTTGCACACACACAGAATTGATATATTTTTATAGTGTGGCCAAATACCAGCACATTTTGTGTATGTTGCTTGAACCAAATCTAGCAAATGGCATCATTGGGCGGGCAGTTTGGGCCCTTTCAATTTAAACTTCATCATGTCATCTTACTTAATTTATTTGATTCCTTTACTCAATAAAAAAGTATTAGTGAAAACGTGGAATATGATGGGTACTCCCTTTTTTATGAGGAATAAACCAATATCCAAGATAAAAGTGCAAGCGATTTGCCTCTTTTTCTCAGCAGTCATCAGAGAACAAACAATGGACTTCATTTATGGGGAGATGGCTTATGCATGTTCATGTAATATGTTTTCAGTTTAATTTTGATTTTGAGATCCAAAACTTGATACTATAGTTTGTCGTTTCAGAGTTGCAAGGATCCATGCAAATTTTTAGACTCCCTTAATATGCACCTATATACATGTACTCCTCTTCAATGTTTGTCAATTGAAATCATTTGGAATCATTTTTTAAAAGAGGCACTTTTTGATTATTAAATATTGACCCAGCCTACCTCAAAGAGAGAAGGTGCTCTTGTCATGACGTAAATCAGCGAAGACACTTCTACATGTAGGTTGTGAAAAGATTTCTGAGACGAGGTTGCATGCTGGCTTATTGCCACATACTTTAATACACAACATGAAATTGCTGAAGAAATAGAAATTTACGATAGCAGAATCTCCCCCCACCTAGAGTGGGATGAGTGTACTATTATGTATTATATACATACATATATCTATTATTTCCTAGTCCACTACTCCCATTTGCTAAATTCTTGATCACCAGTGCGCCCTTACTTGCTCGACCCCGGAGAAGGCAGTCACCATGTTCTTCCTCTTTCGACACACAAAGAGCACCAAGGCTACGGGGAGGAGGGAGAGAGATTGGTAATCTGGTAGTTATGCAGTAGTACACTTGTCCAACTCTAGGTAGGGGGAGAGTCTACTGCCTGCAACCTATGCAGTTTACCAATACATGCAGAGTAGCACCAAACCAGAGGACAGTGCGAAGGTGAGAACAGACTGTCGACCCCAAGCCTCCAGGAGGAGTCATATAACTTGCAACCAACAAGGAAAAGCATATCAGTAATATATTGCAAGGGCAAGCACAAAAACAACTCACCATGTAGGTGTCTTGAGTGCACTCACTTGTAAGGGGAAGGATGACCGGTACTGAGATCCAACATGCGGCATTACAAACATCTGAAATTGGGACAAATTAAAAATAAGCCAAGGACAACGAAACAGAGCACTTATATGTTGTTGGCATTGATCATCAGGACAAGTGGGCCAGTCTGAAATAGCAAACTTGATAGCCATGACCACCCACCTGGCAACAGTGTCTCTGAACACTGGATGGTGACCGGTGAGGCTTAGAATGAGGATTGGTGGGTAATTCCAGAAATCAGGGGTCCAAAAGTGTGACATTTTTGTGTCTCTGTTACATCTGACCTTTGTTATTTGACATGGAAATATCACCAGAATTGTTTTCAAACAATTGTTATTTGTTTGGAAGGTAATTTGCATTATTTCATCACTCTTGGAAATTAGAGAATGTGATCTGAACTTACAAAATCATATGTCAGATGTGACAGGGACACGAAAAGACTCCTAATTTCTGGAATTACCCTGGTCTCCTTTCCCCCCCGAGTCCTTCGGGGTGAGAAAAAATGTGGACATGAAACCCGTACGGGTATGGAGTGCCAGAACTGGAATGATAGCCCACTTCTGAAGGAGGTTCACAATTTCCACCTCTAAGGTCCTGCGCTTGGACTGACTGATGGGAACCCGAGTCAGCCCGGGTTGAATGGGGGGGGGGCACTCGTGAACTTGAGACGGTAACCATGTAGAAGAGTGTCAAGGACCCATCCATCTGACATTATTTCCGCCTAGAAACCCTGCAAAAGATAGAGACAGCCGCCAACAGGTTCAGGATTGATGACTGAAGAAGGGGCGGAACAGTCACTGATGCCAACCCCCAAAAGACTACGTGGGTTGGTGGGTGACACCATGCTGGGCACTGAGGGAAGCCGGAACTGAAGGGCGTGACTGTTCCCAGGCAGATTTCAAAGGCCGACGAGCATGTCTAGGAGTCCCTGTAGGATGATGCCCCACAGGAGCGGAGCACTGCAGAGGCCTTAGAGGGGCCGGACGAGAAACCAATGACAAGAGTCGGACAGCTGATGAAAGGAGATCTTCTGAGCATTGTCAGTCCGATTGACCTCACTTTCAAGAAAAGAAGTACTGTAAACTGGCCCGCAAAGATATCTTTAGCAAACAGGGGAAGACTCTTGAGGGCGGAATTACCTAACTCATGGGGAACATTCACAGCAAGAATACCGAGTGCTGGTGAAAGGGAAAATCCCAAGCAGGCTAACCCTGATCAGCCGCAGCCGATGTATGCCTGCTGAACATAGTCCATGTAGGAGTATAACAACTACTACACAAAAACCGCCAAACACTATCAGGAGGAGCGGTCTGGACTACAACATAGAGTATTGCTGTGTACTGTAACCTCCAAACTAAGCCAGCATAGGTGATCCAGACCAGCTGCACTCTGGCTATGGGCGGGTCCAAACACACTCCCGCCTGTTGGGCCGGGGCGGAGACAGGCTGGCAGAAGACATCGAAGGAAGCCCGTAAGCGAGCAGTGCAGTGGCAGGGACAACCAACCAATGCCATGACTGCTCGTGAGACCCTGCAATATGCCGGACCATATACATGTACACAGAAAGGGAGAAGCAATACCAAAAGAACAAAATGGGGAACACTGAAATTTCCAGCGAAATACATGTACCAACAGAAAATCAACAAGCAAACCAAGAATAACAAGACAACCACTCTCAAAGATATTCTGATAAGATAACCAAAAAAATATCAATAAGAAATGCCACAACTGGGGCAAACTAAATGGAAGATATATACAGATAAGCACTTGGAGTAAGCAGAATAAAGAGACAAACGTACTTCACTTTATTCTAAATATACATTTGTACAGAAGGCAAATAGCGCTACCAGGTGAGAGCCTAGAAAAACAGATAGGAAAACTAGGTAAATACAAGGGTCAGTCTGCCAACCTGCACAAGACTGAGAAAAGAACGACAAAATATATGTATTAACAAGGGAAAAAGTAAGAGTCTGGCATTCACAAGAATGAGACAGAACAAACAAATGAGGTGATCGAGAAATGACACCCAAACACAAAGTAGTGAAAGAAAAACTCTTGAAAATTTCGCAGCCGGACTAAAACACTTCTGATAGTAATGCCGCTTAGACAAAGAGGAAGAACATGGTGGCCGCCTCGGCTGGAGTTGAGTGAGTGAGGGCGCACTGCTGGTGATCCAGAAGTTAGCAAATGGAAGTAATGGACTTGGAAATAATGCGTATGTATTGTAATTTGCATAGAATGTAGGTAATAGACTATACATGCAAATCCATTAGGGTTTCTTTTCTCCACACAAATGAATGGAACACAGAGGTTCAGTGCCCTGAATGACATCAGTATTGATATTCATGAATATGCATGTTTGCATTAGCATAAAAATCAAAAGATTCCAAAATACAGATCAAAAAGGTGAAATACAGAAACAATGATTAATTGAAACACCAAGGTGTGGTTTTAAGGGCCGTCATCAAATAATTGTATTACATGGTCCCCTTAAGAACTCTGTCAGACATTCAAAGACAACAGGCAAGAATTCTTTCACATACGGTCAAATAAGGTTCTTGCAGAATTTGTTTACAAAATCTTGTAACATTTATTTCAAATATACGCAGAATACAACATACAAATTAACGTTCAAATTAAATACGCATTGATGATCATACTGAACATTACATTTCAGAATGTACTTTGTGAGGTGTCTGGGGCCTGCAGCATCGGGCTGCCAATGTCAAAATTAATCTGCACCCGAGTCTGTTGTCAAGAGCTACATGTAGGTCTAGGTCAACACCCAGACAAGGGGACAATGGACGTAGCTGTAGCACTGGAAGCCCGTGTCAGACATGGCCTTACCTAAGCCCCATGAACCATCTGCTAAGCTGAACCAGGTCACCAGCCAAACTGGCATGTAAAGGAAGTGCCTTTGACTGGTTCCCATCCGCTTTTTTCTTTGTCTTGTTTTTAGCAGCATGCAATAATCTGCTTAGCGCAGCTCAGTGAAAATTCTAGTCAAAATATACAAGCACTGTTGAGGAGTGTAATGGTAAGAGCAATTTCACGGGCCAACAGAACATTCCATTAATCACCTTGTAAAATAATTCTTCCCACTGCATGGATGTCAAGCATTCATGACTGGTTTCATAAATGCATTCAAAAAAATCCCTGCCTGCTAGGAATCACCTCGAAGCTGAACAGAAAGTTCAGCATCACCTACAGGTTCAAATTTTTCTAGAGAGTGGGTGGGAATGGAAAGTTTTGCTTCATGTGGAACAGACCAAGTTTTAAGCAGGATGGCTGTCCCATCCTTGGAATGAATGAATCACTGAAAAGCAATGACGACAGGGATTTATGCAGGTGTTGGAAACCACAATGGCAAATTTAAAATCAACAGGGCAATTGTTTTAATAAACAGGGAACAAAATGTGGCCCAGCGAACCACAGCCACAGTGCACATACTCGGTACTTTACGACAGGGCAACTATAATACATGTATCTCTAAACTACACTTGCAAAGTGCGAACTAATGCTTCATGCATAAGCTACTAATTTACGTAATTTTAATGCATGAAAAAGACAAGCCTTGCTGGTTTCAAGTACACACAAGGAAATCCAAAGGTACGCATAACTGTAGGGTAAAGTCTGCTCAAATGTCATCTCTTTTTGAATTGTCTTTTCAGTTGAAATGGAAGGGGGAAAATGAAGCAGGAATTTGACCTTGGAATCTCCATAACAAGCATCTTACAATGGGCCATCGTTAAGCACTGCATGAACTCTGCATATGGTTTAATTAACTCCAAATTGTACTTTTACGGCGGTACACCTCGTGTGCATTGGTATCCGACCTAAATTATATTTTCAGAGTTCCAATGCACTTTTCGCATACCAATGCAAAATTTAAGAGTGCGCATTTATAATGCGACTGAATCATGCAGCCTCACTTTTGGTCTAATTAGTCTTTGGTTCCAGGCAGTTAGGAGGAGGGGGCTCTAACCTTTCAAGGCTCCCTATATGGTACCTGGATGCATGATATTTGGTACCTCTGTACAATGGATCCCTTACCCTGTAAGCACTTGCTTGGAGGAATCCGTCTTTCCTTGGGTCCCAAATTTTCCACTATGCTGGCAAACAAACTACATGCACATGTATAAGACCCTGAATTGGATCTCTTCTGAAAGTTAATGTACATGTTCAAATGCATGTCCACAGTCTGGTTAGCAGCCCTTGCATTTGGGTTTGGAGTTGGGGGTTGGGGACTAGTCTGTATTATCATGATGTAAGGCTGCATCCGAGTCCCTTGTCTAGAGCTAGGTCTAGGTCTTCGCTCCATTGGAAATGCGTGAAGATGCGCAGACAATAGACCTAGCCGTACATAGCTCTGGAAGCCCGTTTTGGACACGGCCTAAGCTCAAATGGTGAAGGTGACATGACATGGTCATGTGATATTTTTGGGCTAATGAAAATTCAAGACACAGGTACATGATTATGAGCTGCCATGTTTCAAGCATCGTCCACTTTTGTTTGGGCATAATGGGAAAATAGGTAGGAAATAACCTGTGTCATAATTTCACCTTCCATGAGAAGTTATGACCTACGTGTACATACATGCACCCCGCGTGCACCACATAGTGCAAACAAGCACTCCCACAGACGGAGACGCCTTTCGTAGATGGGCACCAACTTCAAATATCTTAGACATGGCATCTCATGTGCCTCTGAACTTACTCCAACACTGACCCTGAAGACAGTGGCAAATAAAACATTTATCTCCTGTGAAAAGATTATAATTTGAGGGGATGATTGCCTGACAGGTCCCCTCAACTGTGCTGTCCTGTTAATTATTCTAACATTGCGAACTGGAAGTGAAAATAACTTCTTTGCTGATTGCCAACAACGTGCATTAGTTCTACCAAAGCTATCAATATATACATGTACGTGTACATCATTCAACAGAGTTGCAAGTTAAAAATCATTCAGAATAAAAATTAGTTTGATGACTTATTGATAACGATTGTGACACATTTCAACATTGCTAAGGGATCTTCTGGGATCACAAGAGTTTAATAAAAATCAAATGCAACCCACTCTGTGAAAATGAATCATGGGACCTTTTTTTTCCAGTAATTTGGCTATTAAAGCAGTTTACTTTTGGAAGAGCTAAGCTTCCTAGGCTTAATCAGCCATACACACGAACTGAAAAACCCAGGACAAGTTGTTAAAAACAGAAGTCCCTACAAGTCTTGTAAATGTAGATTTCTGCAACTACGGTATTTCAACCTACTTCTACGATCACTCTAAGAGTAAACATGCTCTTTGCTGCACGCACAGTCAGTTTGACAGAGACATGTGCATGGTGAACAGTGCTGTGAAATGAGGCCTTTGTTCTCAGACGGACGCAGCAAAAAGAGGCCTGCATTTCAAAATGGACAACAATGTAAAATACATCACATTTTTACAACTGTTTTCTTTTCCAGGGGTGATATTGGAAGAAAATAAAATATGTACAAAATAATCGCCAGAGGTTTAAAGGGCAGCATGGGGTCTATGGTGTGGTTATCTCCAGGTTTGAACAATCCCTTACATATCCCTTTCTTGTGCTCGATGTCAACTTTTATACACAAAAACACATTTAAAAGTAAACTCCAGATATTAAAAGAAACTGGAAAATCCCACTTTACAACAGAGCCAACATATTTCATCAGTTGGTATCAGAGAAAAATCCAGCAAAACGAATTAGAAGCCATTTACTGCGGGGCCATCCTGTTTGCACGCAGTTGGTACGCACGTTACATTCCTCTCTGACCAATAGGGTGTCGTGACCGAAGTTGTAAAAGTGCACGCTCAAGGACAGATGCTGGAATGGTCAATGCAAGGGCCCCAAAGGAAAGGCGTCTTTTCGGATTTGTCTATAACATTGAATTGTTTCTGTAGCAAAACCTTATAGTTACCAAGTCTGAGAAATTGTGACAGCCAAAGCTGAAGAGAGTTTGTGCAGTCTGCTGCAGCCCACGAGGCAGTTAGAGAGTCTGATGTAAAAATCTGTCACTAAATTTTGGAAAGTTTGGCAGATTTCACCTTACAACTGGATATATACACCAAGAATGCATTGATGGTGGTTCATTGCTGAGCACCATCTCGACAGAGACATACAGAGGGAATACAATTTTTATTACATTTTATAAAATTTGCTACAGTCTTTGAAGAATTAAATTCTACACATGTGTAAATGAATATGATTGCTTGATAACAGATATAAAGGCAATGAGAAAAGCTGTGTATACAGCCGGGAAACCACAATGTGAGAAGTAAGGGTAAAGTGACTTGCCCAAGATCGCAACATGCTGCCGCCAACTGGAATCAAACCCACGACCCTGTGATCAGAAACTACAAACTCTGACCACTAGGCCACATGCCCCCCATAAAAGTGGGAAAAATATTAAAAAAAAAAAGACCTTCAATTCAGAGGTATGCTGAAGCAACGGGGGTTGATTTTCATCCCCTTTCCTTTCCACTCTATTTCTTTCCCTTTTTATTTCCTTTTTTTTTCTTTTTCAATTTTTTTTCCAGAGCCATTTCAGAGGGTAATGGTCATTTAATTTTGCAGTTTCAGAGGGAAAAAAAACTTCAGTTGAACTTTTGTGCAACTTACCTTCATCAATTGGTAACAGGGTGCTTACCTGTGACATTATATTTTATTTTGAACCATTGCAGAACCCTGTTTGTTGGCAGTTTTAACATAACACAACAGAACCACGTTCAGTTCAGGATCCTGGGGGGGGGAGGCAGGGGGCCACCGGCCCACCACTTATTTTTCCTCGGGGTAATGAACCTCCTCACACATTTGGTTGGTCCTTCAATTATGGTTAATGCCTGATGTCTCACAAATGGCCCCTCTCCACAACTTTGAGTATTGTTCCTCCGCTATTTTGTTCAACCTCTATCAACATAACAAAGGTTGCCCCAGCATTCACTCTAAGGTTCACAAAATTGAACAATACCACCGTTTATGCATTGAATATTGATTTCACGGTTACACACATTACACATCATAGTACATGTAAATGTATGTGTACTACAGATACATGTACAACATAGCGACAAGTACACCTTACATAACACTTCTTTCCCATTTATAACATACACGCATTAATTACTGGCTGTAACAAATGTAGACAATAACGATGGAAGTTGAAATTCTTACTTTTGTTTTCTTTACAGAAACCACAAATTACATGTATCTCCCACCTGGGGAGTTTAATTGCAAGTACAAAAAATGTTTTCAAAAAACTTTAGAGCAGGCATTACTCTCTTTTGCAGTGAAATCACAACCACCAACGATGGCACACACATTTCACACAACTGTGTCTCTATGAGCCCTTTCGTTTTTAGGTTTGTTTTTTTTGCATCTGCATTCTGAAATTTTCTTTTGAGCATTACGACTTCTGACAACACTGTGCAAAGTTGTGGCAGTTTCTACGAATGACAAGTACATGTAATCTGGGGCAAGGTTTACTAACATGTCAGAAATGTTGCATTGCAGAATTGATGAGAGGGTGGCATTGGGAAGAGTAACATGCCTTAAACTAGGCATCAACAATCCTACACCAGAACGGTAATAATGTAAATTGCAAAGTGTGTGAGATAAGTGGAAGGCGTAAAAAGAGACCACTGGCTTAAAATCTAATTCTTTTTTGGGGGGGGGGGTTTTAGTTGATGCGACTCTAACTTTTTGTGAGGAGAGTGGAGAGTCTAAGCAATGGTTTGGAAGTAAGTGAAGTAGCTCCCTTGAGGGTTGAATGATTTTTCAAATGCATTTCGTGGTGCAGATATCCCTCATCCAAGGGTGCCACTTGGACTAAACCAAAAACGGGAGGGGGAGTGGGCCACAAAACTGTTGAGGGACCATTCTCTTTGATGGCAGGCAACGTTTTTTAGTCAATAGATGTGTTTGCCAGCAACCATTTCACTAACAACAGATAAAGTGGGGTGTCTTCTACCTTTTCCCTCTGGTGCCCCTTCTCCCCCATTCCCCCAAACATCAGGGAATAACACATTTCCAAGGCAACACGGCCACACACTAAGACAACCAGTGTCTTCAGTATTAACTCACCTATTACACTGACAGAGTTGAACACGGTCCATATCAAATATAACACACAAAGCTTTTTTTTTAGTAAAAACAAGGCCGCGTTTTTTTGTTGATAGTAATCATCCAACGTCCCTTTCCCTACCACAAGTGTGCGCTGACTCTGGCGTCTTAGGTCGGACTCACAGGCAACTTCGCTGGTGCGACTCTCATTAATCATGACTACTGCGAATCTTTAAAAAAGCCTCCACTACCACAGGCACTGCTGTTGTGTATTGTGGCTCCTCTTCTGGAACAACCCCCTACCCCAAGCGCTTAATGCGGAATCACAAGACGGCGCAATTTTGCTGCTTGGCGCCACGTTTACCCCTCCGGCTGCGACGCTTGGCATCTCGATCGACAGGTTGCCTCCTGAGAGGGAAAAGACAAGGTGACAACGAGAAAGACAGAACCAAAGTTAATGACAACATGACTGGTCAAGTGTTCTGTGACTTTGTCTTGGAGTGTAAAAAAACCCAATGATGTGGTAAGAAATTTTGCATAAATCCAACAGTTCCAAGGAGTTAAAGGAGCTGAAGGCTCTACATTCGGTGGTTTACATTTTGAAGAAGTCAGATTTTTCAGACAAAATCCCCAACTTGGAATAAATTTGTCGAGAATGCATCAACAAACTGAAAAGGAGGAAATCATCTGATCTGAGGAAGAAATGCATGCTTTCAACCCTTCCTCCCTAGGGTGATTTAGTATGGTAGTAACCTTCTACGTCCTTAACTGAACACCACAGGTAAACTGTACATATAAACAGTTGGATTCTGACCTAACAGATTTCAAAAAATTCTGTTGTTGGAGTTTGGCTGGTTTGGGATCGTTAACGTTGAAATACTGTGCAGGTTTTGTTTTCTTGTACCTGATGACCCGAACGACCTCATGGAAAGCCCTGTCAATGTTCTGTGGCGGATCCTTGGCACTTGTCTCTATGTAGGACGTCTTCTGTAAAGAGCATAAGTCACAGCGCAAAACTTGAATGCAGATGAGTGTTGACACAAGATGAAGCGCATACTATTGTACCGGTACAACATTTGAATTATTTAAGTCCAATCCAAACTATGCTAAGTTGAATTTTTTCTTCATATCGCTGACTTGTACACTGTACATGTACCTGCCAATCGTCTGTTCAGATTTGAAATTTCCATATAAAAAGAAAAATGTCCCGGCAAAAGAGGGTGCTATTGCAGGAAAAAGAGGGTCATATTTGCAAAAAAAGAGGGCACTATTTTCTACATGTATGTCAAAATGGCAGTTGTTGCACATACCGGGGGGTACATGTGTATGTGTGTACATGTATGTAAACAGCTTCTCTTATGCAACTGCTTGTTTTGCTGTGGGCTCGTAAAAAGGGTTTTCAGATTTCTGACTTTTTAATGTTAGCAGGTACATGTATGCCTAGCTTGCCTTTCTCAAAGCTTGCCAATGTATGTCCAGGATGGCATGCACTAAGACTGCTGCATACAGAGTCTAACTTGAGTAAAGAACTTGCTTACATGTACATAATATACATGCATAATATTGCTTTAAGGATAATGTAATTCAACACTTTTTTGTAGCTACATGTAGTTTGATATGTAAAAACAAGAAGGTCATTCAAAACAAGGCACCTCACATCATGCCAGTTCTAACTTGTGCAGTGCAGCTGAAAGGCCGCAATGACAGGGCCGACCTCGGGCCATGTGCTTCGAAGTCCTCGGATGACCGAAAAGCTTCTTTTTGAGGACATGCTGTTGAAATACTGAATAGGCTCATCACCCTGCTGACCTCTCAACTCACCCCTAACTCTGCAGCTAATGCCTTGCCCTCCTCTTCTGTCACCTTCCGTTGGTGGACCAGGTCCACTTTGTTGGCGACGAGAATCATGGGATACGAATCCCTGAAGATGGAGGTAAGAACAATGCAATGCAGATAATCAAAACAAGACATTTTTTTTTTCAATGAAAGGTAAACTTAACAGTCCTCATTCCTCCAATTTTTCTATAATTCAAATTTCACACTAACCCTTTGAGGTTAGGGTTAAAGATACCGGTAAACCCAATCTTACACGTACATCATGTACACATGTACGGTACCTCTACAAATCACAATGCCCAACTCTTGTGTCAGAGAACAAACATGTACTTTGTATATGTGATACTTGTACTGTTGAGCACGTACAGTACAATACATGCCCTGTACATTTGTGTACATGTACATGTACCAGGTACATGTACACACATCAGTACCACAGGATCCTTTTTGAAAAATTGTACTAAAAGGTCTTTAATGAAAAATACTGCTTTAAAAATGAAATTTCAATGAAAGGTTTGGTGAAATTTGAGGATTGGCTCCCCTAAGCCACATGCACATGTACTGTACAGCAGATGTACTGGTACAAATAAAATAGCCTGGAACATACCTAGTACCCTACATGTACCGGTACATGTACATGTTATGTTGTCTGTCTCAAACTCAGAATAAGGCTTTAGGAGTAGCTTTGCCAAAAGCCATGTTACTGCAATAAAAGCTCTTTAATGTTATATACATGTACTCGGTACACTGTCCATCTACATGTACAAACCTTTGGCATCATGACTTCCTGACAACACTGCACTTACAGTTCTGGTTAAGAACTGATCTGCTCATGTTAATAAGACCTGATACCTGAGTATGCACTGCACCTTGAGGCTACAAATTTTAATCCCATTGCAAGTCAGTGCTCTTTGATATTCAACATGTTTGTCTAAGGCAAAGTGGTCTTGATTTAAAGAAAAGAACAAAAACAGCATGGCCAACCCCCCCAAAAAACCCTCCAAGAGAATAACAAGTCCTTCACAAGCCCCTAGGCAAGACTGAATCCTCTCGAATGAAACTTCAGGATTTTTCAAGCTCATCATTTACATGTACATGTATCTGACGTGACCTTTTTCCCTGACTGAGATCTACAATCGTGCTGTTTTTATCGGTGTGACATTTTGCCACATACCCACATACAGTAACTGGCAGTTTGACCCAGGGCCCTACTTAAGCAACCATGACTTTTTCACCTCGAGAGTATTAGAATTTTTGGGGCGCGCAGTTTTTCCTAATACATGTACCATGTACGTGTACATGTCCAATTGTATGGTTACATACATAGAAATCAGGGGTGTGAGTGGCCACTTAAAATTAAAGCTGAAACCTAGCAAAAAGCCGAAATATAAACAGTTCCTATACTTTTGTACAGACCAGGTATACAAAAAAGCTGAAATTCAGGGTCAACATCTAAACAAAAAAAGCTGAAATCAGCTAAAACGCTGAATTCTCACATCCCTGATACATGTAAAAAATATGTACATGTACACATAAATGTTGCTGTTCTGAATCACCATGATCTCACTTTCCACACCAGTCTGTAATTACTGTATGCAGCTACTGTAGTGGTATATACATGTACAGTAAAATCTTGATAAGTCCTGAACCATTCCTTCCAAAAATGACATCCCCTTTGGGCTGGTTTGTTTCATACAAATCTTGATCTCAATCAGTTTTCCCAAAGCTGGTTCGCTCCATCCATCAGGCGGATTCTGGATTGCGATCCAGATCCGTGTGAAACAAACCGGCTGGCTACTGTAACTCCCAGTAAAGCGTACCTGTCTTTGACCCGGAGAATCTGCGTGTAGAAAGACTTGGTATTCTCAAAGCTGGCCTTATCAATGACGGAGTAGACAATCAAAAAGCCGTCACCTTTCCTCATGTACTGCTCTCTCATGGCACTGAATTCCTCTTGTCCGGCAGTGTCCAGCACTGGTGAAAAAGGAAAAAAAAAAGTGTTACACTATACCTACTATACTATACTGCATTCCAAAGTGACAGGTGACACTGTGAATTGGAGTGGGAATGTTTGTGACAAGAATTTACTGCCATATTCACAAGGGGGAAAAATAATTTCCAACTTGTGTGAAAATGCATACACACGTCATGTAGATGTACATGTTTGTACTCGTGTACACTGTAAATACTGGTACATGTACAATACATGTACTGGTAAATGTTTTGCCACTTGTGGCAAAATCAGTGAAAATTCTTCCTTACACACTGTACTTGTGTGGAAATATGTGAAACTCTTTCCCCACCTTGGGGAAACTTTTTCACAGTTTGTGAAATGAAAAATGAATTCCCTGGGAAGAGCAAAAAGTGCAAAGAGAATTTTTCATTCCTACTTTACAGGTTAAATTTCAATTGCAATATCATACTGGTAGGTGAAATGCGTACATTTGTTAAAAACAGCAGGTTCTTTTTAAAATGACAAACTTTCAAACCTTACAGACTGAATGTACTGGTAGGCTTTTTAAATGCCTGCATGAAACTGTCTCTCTGCATACATGTAAATACTTTCATACATATTTGTACAGTAACTTTATAGCTGAAACTTGAGCCTTATTACTGCAGAGGGGGAAAAAGCAGTTTATGACCTCAGCGGTGTCCACAGGTGTTGCTAATAACTTGATTAATCCCCTGGCTGCTTTGATCTACCCTGGGGCAAAAATCCTGACAGTGGGGGCAGGGGGACTCGTTGGGCCATGAAACATCCGGCAAACCTGAATGGACTTGTACGCACGCACGTGTGCTGAATGGAAGGCCAATGTGGTGCAGCATGAAGCAATCAAGGAAGCCAGCCAATTTGTACATGGTGAGTTGAGCCTCTGTGCTGGCCGCCCGCAAAATTCAATTATCGTCTGAATTTCTGTCAAATTAATTTTTTAATTGGAATATCTCACACTTGGCCAGTTGTGCATGCAAACTGGAAAAAAATTCATCTTCTCATAATACTAAAGCAAGGCAGTAAGGTTCTCAAAAACCAGTAGGCCTACATCCAATCAATGAAAGAATAATAAATAAAGATCTTTCTTTCTTACTAATACAGATAAAACCATGGGTAAACCTGTGACTATCATTTTTTAAACTCCATTCTTCACAGTGTTTTTGAACAGCACTTCCACACCTTTTAGAGATATTAACCCTAACAGTCCTCAGTCCTCCAACAGGTGCAGGACTGAAGAGTGTTAGGGTTAATGAACCCTATGTTTTATGTGCATGGTGCTTATTAGAAATATGCTCCGTTGAGTAATGAGCAGTAACTTGGACAGTTTTTATAATAACAATGTTCAGCAGAATGAACCGGTAAGTCATGAGGGTGTTTTTTAACCCAGTGTACCTAGCATATATCCGCAGCTCCAAGCACTACGCTGTACTTTCTGTTAGAGAACCTTCTGTAAATATAATGTACATGTACATGTACTGTACAGGCTTTGTGACAAACCAGTCTGGCATGACAAAAAATGAATTCCTGACATGTCACAGTCAGTCATGTGGAGTCTTTGGAATTTAATGCTGGCCCTTAATCTCAGACAGCAATGAACCAGTTTGGAAAAATTGTTTTTTTTTGACAGCGCAGGCCAGCCGTACATTTCAAATAAAGCACATCTGAGGTCAATCTGTGCACGTGAGGTCTATCCCATTAGTGCAGCCATACCTGCTGTACAATGCCTTGCAACCATGGTTCGACCTTGCCATTTTTGAAATATCGAACTATATGTACCAGTAGCTCGCTGCTGTCAGTTTTGGTACAACCATGAGATACTGTAACTGAACATCATATCAATTACAGCACATGCATGAAGGCTTACCAGATGTACAGCCCCAGGTACATGTACATGTACAGTACCGGTACATGTACAAACACATGTACTGGAACATCGTGGGTCCATGATGCACATGTCCAGGCACTGTACAGTACTGTGTAACCAAAAAAGTGAATCCAAATTTACATACATTACTAGTACGTGTATGTTCACGTACATGTACATGCTGCAAAATGAAGAACATGCATAAACCTAGACTGACAAATGTGCGTGTGATTGAATGTACATGTACATGTACAATGTAATCCCTCCCGGAAGATTGGTTTCCAAGAGGAAATCTGACCTGATAAGGAAAGAAGCTTACCCAATTTTTTTTTTCTTTTTCTGATTGCATACACATGTACGTGTTACATGAACGTCTGTTCTTCCCACGTAGGAAATTAATTCCAGACATCTGGTTTGGGGGCAGCAATATGCGCAAGTCGCACCATTGTACAATTCATTAGGCGTGTTCCGACCCCGTGGACCAACACCCAAATGTTCAGGTCAGCTTGAGTTTCATGTTGACGAGGAAAGCATCTTAAACTTAACATCTCCAATATGCAAAGTACATGTACAGGTACATCTGAAAAATGAAAGTTAGGCAATTTGAAATGCTGACAAACAGCCCGACACCAAGGAAATCCCACCCCCAGGGCAAAGACACACCAGGGGCAACTGGCAAGTGTACCGGTGCTGTTTAATAAAGGTGGAAAAAGGAGCGACTAAGACTGAGAAGCAACTATGACTGAGAGAAATGTGACTGTTTTCATTGTTGAGCAAACCTGTGAGAGAACACTTATTTTTAAAAGTTCAACAAGTTAAAAACACTATTGATTTTCCAAATTTAATGGGTGTGGAGAACATTGTTGGTTTTGAAGTTTAACAGGTGGGAAATGTGCTGTTGGTTGGGGTTTTCAAGGTACATGTAAACATCCCTTTTCCCCAATTACAGCCTTGAATACAACATGTACCGGTATATGTAAGGTATGTACATGTACAACTCCACTTTTTAAACTAACATAATTTTTCTTTTCTAATCATCTTTACCCCCTGCCAACTGACACATGTGACTAGGCTTTCTGAAGTTTGTGCTTGCACTCCTACCCACGTGTACATGTACATGTAAATGTACATGAACAAGTACATGTACATACCGGTAAATACACTACGTAGTACATGTGTCCAGCCCTCTTTTGCTGTGTTTACTATTGTTTTGTGTTGGGACAAAACATGAAATTTGCCACTGACGGCTTTAGCAGGATTCTTGGGATGGCTTCGTTTGGATTTCCATTTGACAATGAATAAATACTGGGAGTCATGGGGGTCACATGATTGAGGCACAGTACAAAGCTACATGTACTATTGTGCACTGCTGTTTGAGGCAACAGGTTCACAAGGCACATTGAAAACTCTGGTGTATGGTTAAATGGCATGTTCGTCAAAGAAGGAAATTTTCTTTAAATTTTCTTTCCACATGCCAGCCAGTTGTTCCAGAGTCATTCCTTGGTGAGCCACTGGCTTCATTGTCACCTCAGCAAGTTGAAATTTCCAACCCAAAGTTTTCAAGCTGAGAATCTGATGAAAGGATTAGACAGGGTTGCTCTCAATATTGGCTCTATGATGTATATGTATACGTTGGAGATCTCCCTCCCTTCTCATGCAAAGATGATTTCAAACACACTCACACTTCCACTGCAAAAATTGGGAAGAATAGAGAAGCTTCTGTCCTGAACACAATTCTTTTATGGTGGCTTCCCTTTAATTTATCTCCCATGGAGACTCTCACCCAGGGTTTCCCATGCCCATTCAAGTGTGAAGCGGCCCTACTCACTGATTTTAGTGAACACCTCTGGCTTTTCTATTGAATTTTACCACCTGACACTTTAACTAGAGAAAGATGGAAGGAAAAACCAAAATGAGTTAGATATTTTGAAATATATTGATTTTAAATTGTTCGGAATGGTAAAGCGGGACAAAGAATACAAAATAGATTAATTTTAGCAGGGAAATTTGGAGTAAATGTATACCCGTAGAACTTAATGGTATTTTAGGCCTTCTTGAAAAGATTCGCTTTTGTTCTGGGCACACACACATGTACATGTACACGTATCAGTACCCCAAGGGAATCTTGCTCTGACTGATTCCTCTACTGCGATGACTTGGGAGAGTCTCAATGTAACATCTGAACCCATTTTTGTTACTTTTTTCTGTGCAAGGCCTTGATACATGTACTGTACATGTACTTAGCCCATGTACATGTACCTGTATGACGGTTTCAGCAGGATTTCACTATTGCTGGGGCATTGACCTGTACTTTATGGTTTAACCAGAACAATGCACTAATTCAGGGAGACCTGAAACAAATCACAAGCTGGAAATAAGGGCTGTACACAGGTACACACCAAAGTGTTATGAGGAAGTTTTTTATTGCTAGCCAAATATGCCACGAAGTTGTGGGAACTTGCTGAGCACTGTCCCCACATTTGTACTCCATACATGTATGCTTTCTATGGGACTCCAAAGCTGAAGAATGTGCCACCTTCCTGAACAGAGGTGGATTTGAAAGAAATTCCGTAAAGCTCTTGAAAAATGCCTCTAAGGGAGCTAAGGTTAATCCATAGCAGGCAAATCCCCGGAAATGTCACTTTTTGTCCCACCTGTACCTGGTACCAGTACAGTAATGCCATGTTTTCTTTTACACAACAAATCTGACCAGTAACATAAAAAACTCAACAGTGAAATGAGAAATCCTGAAATCCATAAATAACTCGAGGGCTTCTGCAATGTACATGTACAGTGTACATGTGTGAAATCATGGGCTTGCCTCAAAAGTGAGATAAAACAGGAAAAAAGAAAGAAACAGTCCTTACCATCCAGAATGCACCATTCCCCGTCAATCTCCGTGTGCTGGATGTAGGAGTCTTCAATGGTCGGGTCGTAGTCGGCCACAAACATCTTCTGGAAGAACTGTATGGTGATGGCGCTCTTCCCTACGCCTCCGTCCCCGACAACCACCAACTTGTACGTCGTGAGATTGTCGCGGGACATGTCTTGCAGTGCATTGGACATTTTCTATGTCAATATCTCTTTTCGTCTTGGTCTCCCTTTCTTGGGAAAGTCCTCGCACAATGAGCAGCACTGAAGCACACTACCGAGAAGTCAAATTTTTGGGGATGAAGAATGAAGACTTTTTTCAATAAACAATGTTATGGACTGTTGGATCCGTATGTGAAATACTGCTTTGGTGGCTAATTTCCAAATGACATGTACAGTACGTTTCCAGTCAACTCCAGTTTTTACTTGCCCAGTTCCTGAGGGGCATCGATCAGTGTCTCTTTGCTGACAACCGGTTTGGACGTTTGATGGAGTGCCTGTCGTCTTTTTTTTTAAGCCAAGGAAGCATGGGTGACCTTAACAGGAGGTGTCTCAGTGAATGGGAGATTCATGCAGTATTCCCAAGCAAAGTTGAGGCGCTTGGCTAGCATCAATGTTTCCAATCACTGGAGGGGGGTGCATTTGCGAGCAGACATTCAGTTGGCACTTAATAATGTTGATATCAAGCGGAAAAGACGATCAAATTCATTTCACTGGATTAGGATGCACGGAAGATCAGTTTATATTCATCAGCATCTTGGGGGGAGGGGGAAAGCTGTCCACGCTTCCCACTCGCGTTTGCAGGAAGCTCAGGCCGGAAACTACACACTTAAGATGGACGGACAGACGAGCAGAGACATCTTGCCGTCTCTGGTGCTCACGTCGTGAAGTGCATCAAAAATTCACGAGTTGCGGAGGTGGGGAATTATGCGTGCACATATCAAGCGGATGGATTGCGGTCTTTCTTTCCCCACCGGTCGCTCTGCTGCAACTTTCTCTATGCTGGATGACACCTTGTGAATAATCCCTGGGATTCTGAGTTGGAATCGCACACAAACATCCGGTTATTTACTCTTTTGGGAGGCCCGCCTCAAACTGCAAAGGTGTTTCCCTGGAGACTGTAACCTGCCAGTACATGTACATGAACATATAGTACTTGAGTTCAGGTCTGAAAAAGTGAAAGGGTATCGCTGTTTTACTTTTATTGGCTTCAACTACAGTAGGATAGTAGCCACAGGAAATTGGGATTGTTGACAGAAGGAGGGGGGGGGAAGACTTCAAGTGGGCACTCTCACTCTGCAAAAGAAAAGAACCAGTGGGAATAGCAATTATAATGCACATAAATTTAGACTGAGATCCACAGCAGTACTGTGGTGCTTCTGGGCAGGTTGTATTTTGTTAAAAGTGCTTACATGCACATGTACAAGTAAGGGATAAAACATGCAGTACATATGTACACGTACCGGTTCACTCTGGTTCATTTACATACAAGTACCGGTACATGTACAGGTACATGACTTCAAGATGTTTTTGCTTTGCACCCCGGTATATGTACATGTATGTGAACTTTTGTGTAAATGACGATGCACACGCAACAAAAAAAAAAAACCAAAAAGCACTTGTTGAAAATGTTCAGTGTATCCCAAAATGAAACAAAAACCAATCGTGGAATTGCCAATTTGTACAACACTGTAAATGTTGTACTGGTACATGTATGTACATGTACATTACAACACAAACATCTCACCCATGTTAACAGCAGGAGCCTTTCATTTCAAGACAATTTCATGTTTTTTCCCCTAGAGCCAGTAACCACAAAGTCTACCCAATCAATCAAACTTAAAGTGCAATATCCGATAGCCATCAGAGCCAGTAGTCCAATCAGTGTATTGGGTTCCAGGAAATGGTAATCGGTGTCTGCCATCATCTGGCCTGCTCTGTGACAGCTGCAGGAGTCAGCCCCAATCCAGCCTCCACCCCCCATGAAGTCTGGCAGTCATAAGATCAGATGCTGATGACTAGTGTTAATACATGTACATGTATGTCACAACAGGCAAGCGGTATTGGTCATTCATTGTACAATGTTTATGCAGTCGAGTCGACACAAGACAATAACACAATCATGCACACTGTCAATTAGAGCCCAAATTTACCGGTCAGTACACATTCTACATGTACATGTACATGTACATGTATTTGTTACATGGAAAATTACAATTCACCTTGTCATTGCTCTTTTTCATGTCCAGGTGCGTCAGTGATGATAAGTGATGATACATGTAAATTTGAATGTAATGTACATGTATAAGTGATGATACATGTAAATTACATGTAAATTTGAATGTAATGTACATGTAGGCCTACATGTATGTACATGTACGTGTACCCCTGTCGTACATGTACATGTAAATTGTGTACAACCTAAACCTCACACATTATGGGTAACTGATACATGAAAATTACTAACATGTATTGCATACATATACATGGTACATGAAGATACATGTAGGATGGGACTTTTAAGCGCTTCCATGGTTTGCCAAAATACATGTATGTACAATACAAAAACATGTACAATGTACTGTACACTCTAACTTGGTACCGGTACATGTACGGTACTACCCGTATATCAGTACGAGTATGGACTGGATACATGTACCGGTACCTGTATCAGGGGTAAGATTGAAGGAGAATAGAATATCCTCACTAGAGGTTTCAAGGGCCCCACTGTGGTGTATGGTACAGGGTGTAGTTACATGTACATACTGTACATGCAAGATCTGTGTTTGCTTGAAGAAACCCCTTAATATAACCATTTCATGCGTATTTATACACCTTAATCGTAAACTCAGGATTTTTACCAAATTAAATCTATAGTTAGCATCCTGAAATTAGGAAACAGATGATTAAAAAAGTCCTGAAATCAGGAAAAATCCTGACAAATCTCGCCCCTGCTGTATACATTGTACGATGTGGTACATGTATATACATGTATATGTGCATACATGTACATGTACTGTACATGTATGTAGCCGTACAATGTACATGTACACTGCAGTTTCAGTCTACAGTAACACAAAAATCATTTTATAAACATGCTTTTTGTTCTCTCTCAATTTCTGTGGACCAGTAACTACTGAATCAAGCACCTTTTTCATGAATTGTTCCACTGTGTGTGCTGCAATTTGAACCTCTCCTTTGAGGACTAGAGTCTTCAAAGACTAGGAACCTGTAATTACCTGTTTACAGCACAGCAGTCTACTGTACATGTACATGTACATTAGGACGCTTGGCACTCTAGTATTTCCAAGTACTGTGCCGGTACATACATTTACACATGTACATGTACAATGTACGGTAGATAGTGTACCAGGTACAGTTGATGGGAGGCTACCTAAGTGTACATGTACACGTATCCACGCTAAGAACAGTGCAACAAGGGCCAGAGTGCCTGAGATTTTTGTTGGAAAATCATACAAGAAGAAAGCAAACCAGACACGCTTCAGAGTGTGCCCTGAGCAACCCTCCACCTTTATTGAACACCTCTGCAGACTCAAGTGCCATTAAAAATGTGTCAAGCACTGCGCTGTGTTTTAATACTTGTTTGGCTGTTAACATACGAGTAAAACTGTACCACATCTATTTTAGATTTTATCACACAAAAGCGGGTCAAAGACAAGAAAAAAATACCAGTAAGTGTCACAAATAAGACGAAGAAATTGCTTTTTGTCAAGAACCGATGTTTCCCTCTCCACAGTTGTTTTTCCTTTTATGGAAAAATCCTTAAAATTTAAGTAGCTTTACCGGTACTTTACTGGCCAGTATTTCATCTTCAAATGAAAAAAAGAAACCTTTAGGAATCAAACTTTACAGGTTAGTGTCTAACGTCTCATCACATCCTTCAAAAACCAACCATACCAACAGGATGTGCATATCAAAAGCTCTCGTTTTCTGATCAACTGTATCTGCCCATTCTAACCTGTAAAATTAAATTTTCTTTAAATAAAATGCAAATTTGTCTTTTCTAATCTATACACATGTGCTAGTATATGTATGTACGTGTAAATCTTGTCTTACCTGTACAATGTACCGGTACATTGCAAAACACTTGTTACATGTACATTCATTTGTACACAGACTGACCTATTTTTTTCTTGTAATAGCTGAAATCAGCACAGCAGTGACGTCATGTAGTGTGTACCCAGTGCATGTAATGTACGGGTACATTGTACTCCCTTATCAAATTGGCCACAATTGGGCAGCTGCATAAAAAACCCTTGTTATCAGGGCATTATGGGTCCACTGCTGAACTGAATGGTGACACACACCCCTAGGTTGACATAGACAAGCTTACATAACAGGCAAATTTCTTTCGGACTCCTGTCAATTTTGTTGCGGGGAGGGGAGGGGGGAGAAGGGAGAATTCTTGGGAGTACCAGCTTAACTCCGCAGGCAGAAGCCTGAGGGCAGGTTTCATTCTAGAAAGGAAGTAACCACTTGGCCAATGAGCTTAATGACAGGAAGGTCATGCCGGTAACCTACACTGAAAAACTAGCATACAAGTACACAGTATTAAGCTGGCGTCGGCATTGAGCGACTTCCTTGAATTTTGCTATGCAGTGTATGGTATACATCCTTTCAGACAGAAACCAACAACAGTCTACAACAACTGCTAGTACATGTACAGTATGACACAAGTTGAACAATCTGCGCTGAATCTATTATTATTATTAAAAAACATTAACACGTTAAAGAACAACATTTAGGTAAAGGGTGAAGCATAGATTTGCTTTTGAATGGCCTGCTCCTGCAAAATGAGGGTTAGGACACACAACATGCATTGAGTATCCAATGAGTTACAGGACTGTAGTGGTTAACTGTACAGTTCATACACTTGTACGTACATGTACGTATACATGACTTTCATGTGCTTGGCACCGTAAATTTTTAAAGCATGTCAAAACAGGAAGTTGGCAAAGCAAGCACAAAAATTCAATTTACTCAGAGCTTACAAATTTAACATGCATGGTCGAAAACGTCTCCAAAAATAAGAGAGGAAGTTGCCCCCACAAAGAAAACAACATTGACTCTGAACAGAGCCCCAACACAACCCAACAAGCAGGCCCATACAGGATATGCTCCATCCAGCCTGCAAGTCTTTTCTTCAAAACAGCAAGTTCCTTTTCTGCTTATTTCTGGGTCAACCCCCTCCCGCTGAATGCAATTTCACGCCACAGCGAAATTCTGAGGGGTTTCTTTTAAAGCTCTTCTCTAACAGCAGAAAGTACAGAACTTGTGGTCTTTAGTGGTCTAATGAAACGGGTGGCAGAGGAATGTGCGTGGGTGGGTTCACAGGAATAAAGGTTGTTCTGGTGGGGGAGAATGGATTTAATCAATTTACTCAGGTAGAACCAAAATGCACATTAAATACACTCATTTCATGTACCAGGTACTAGTAGTTTAACTAAGTTGAATGCGACTATGAAACGTGCTCATCGTAGGCACGATTTCCTCTCAAGCATGCTCATATTATGGCAATTCAAGGAATTATGTGTGTGTAATTAATCCATTGTGACATTTAGTTGTTTTGTTTTAATCTGGGGAATTTTTTATGGGGGGAGTCTTTTGTTAGCCATCGCATCAGGCAGGTTCTTTGTAATTCTGACCTAAGCAGACCCTTTCACAAGGGGCTGACATCAGTCAGCTCTGGGAGGCATTGTCAAGTTAGGGCATCCCTTCACTGCCATGCCATAAATCGCAGCAAGCAGCTTATAGTTCAAAAAATTGACTTAAAGCCTAGTTTGTAGTGTACAAGTCACTCAAGACAGGAAAGGAAGCTTTTGTGAAAACTGAAACCAAGATCAAATTAATGATGCTCATGCTTTTTTAATTTCTTCAATACAGACGACTGGACATTTTTACAGATGCAAAAGTTACAACAAGACAGGTGAGACTTGAACTTAAAAGCATGTTATAAAACTTTTTAGGGAAAGAGTTCTATATATATATGTACATGTATATTATACATGTACATGTACACTTGATGCCCCTGCGCACAACTGATGAGACATATCTGAAAAAAAAAGTGTTTTCTAAGTGTTACCGGTACATGTACAGTACTTTTAGAATTTTTCTGCTAAATTTCATTTTTTGTGACACGTTATCACTTTCTGATGGTTGTGTTAACATTAAATTAAGGCAAAATTAGTGTTGTCTACACACGTGTACATATACTGCAATTTTCAGAATATAAGGTACGGCTTATACATTGATTTTGCCCGTGAAAATTGTTGGAGCGGCTTGTCATCTGGACGGCTTACATGCTGAGCTTTGAAGAATAAACTTGAGATTCATGTGTAGAAACACTAATCTATTTTTGACAAAGTTTGCATCCTTCGGGAATGAAAATCGCTCGTTCCCTGGAAACATCGTAGGCCTTGATCAAAACAGAAAGGTGGAACCGGCCTGAAGGAATCGGGGCTTGACCTTCATGACCTTACCGTGAAAGATGCGGTAGTCATGTTCGATACAGCATGCGGCCGGCGGTCAGGCAGCTGAAAGCTCTTTTCGTTAGTGACCGTGCAAAGCCATAGATCTGACACTAGTAGTAGCAGACAACCAACAACCAGTCACACAACCAGAACCGTAAGTATATTTGTGTCAAACACCACTCAAATTGCAGTGGAGCGTCTGTTCGTTTTTGTTGTGTTTATTGCTTGTGAAATTTTCACATCTACCACATCTATAAGAATTTTGTCCTTCATGCAACCATTTTTGTGAATTTTTAGTACCTTATAACGTTCTCCTGGTAATCCACTTGCGAGGAGGAACATTTTTTCTGCATTTACCCAGTCGCAGGAATATTTTATTACACAACACTGCCATTCCGCCACCGTCGCCTCTAGGGAGCGATTGGCGGACAAAAGTTTTATCTGGGTTATATAATAGCGTACAGGTCACAAATGCCTTGTTGATTTATAATAAACAATGGAGCATCTGGCGATATTCTTATTTTAACGTACAGGCACAAGACTCACAATGTTATTTCAGCCTTTTCTTGTGTACATGTACATTTGGAAGAAAACGTTTGGTAGCCGTTCCATTTTGGCGAGCCGTTGCGGTAGTCTTTCATGTTGCAACGATCTACCAACGCATGTGATGGTGCGCCTTATACGCTACGCTTTGAACCTTAATCTGAAGATTTTCTGCCCTGTGCCTTATAATCAAGGCACCTTATATTCCGAAAATTACTGTATGTATATGGACTCTTTCTTTTTTTAGATACATGTAGATAGAAGTCAACAATGCTACATGTATTAAATTATCATTGGGACAGTTTTCCAATCATGTAGCAAGCAGCACAACAGCAGCCCCTCAAAAACCTGACAATTAAAGTTGATGTAACATTAACAGAAATGTACAAATAAAAAGTTATACAACTTTCTCAATATAGGGCCTAATGAACCTGAACAGATCAGGTTAGGATGACTATGTTGGGTATGAGTTGACGTAGGCCTACGTCATGTAGGCTAGGCATAAGTTGACCATACACAATGTTGATACATGTATGATGTTCGTGTTAACTGGGGCACGAATTGACTCGGGTATGAGATGGCTCTGGTATAAAATGACTTGGGTGTTGATTAATGCGTAACTCGGACACGAGTTGACCTGGCACTGTGGAACGAATTGACTTGTTTCCCTTTCTACCGGTCATTGCCGGTAGGCCCAAACTGGGTGACCTAGCATGCACTGTCCGACTGTCATGCCTGTGAACAAACCCTATTCGGAAAGTTCCACGTATACATGTAATACGGACAACACTTGATGCACCTGTGCACAAACCTGAGACTTGCCATGTTGGGAAAGAGTTCCATAAGATATATTATAGGCCTACATGTACGTACGTGTATACGGACAACTTGATGCCCCTTCACATTTCCTGGCGCAGGCAATTTACAAGCGCGGATCGCCCTGCCTGGTTCACGTCCGGACTGAACGGGATCACCACGGCTCGGGTTGACTCCTGCTGTTCACAGCCAACCTGGACAACACGCGCCAAAGGCAAAACTCAAAAGGAAAACTGGACATCAACTTACCGTTCGCTACCAACCATGCCAAACCCCGTGCCGCATGTACGTTGTTCCCCTAGACGTGTCAGGACCTGTTAATGTTACTGTGATGAAATAATACGCCAAAAATTGCTACGATCTCCAGCGCATCGGCCATATCCGCCATGCGATCAATCTCAGTTCAAACTGGCATCCGGCGCACATATCGCATGTGAACGTGTTTGCAGACCAGTGAAACTCAGACGGACTAGTCACTACAAGGGGGCGCTACACCTAAAAATGCCACTGGGGGCGTGGCCAGCCCAGCATCTCGGATCGTAAGCCCAGAAGGCAACGGCCCTTACTCGTCGACCACCGCCCAAACTGTTTGGGCGCAAGGCGACGAGCAAAAGAACACATTTGCCTCTACGAAAGCGTTGAAGGCCAAGAAAATGCCAAGGGAAACACACACACTTATTTTTAAGTCTCAATACCTGAATGCACATTTTGGGGAAAACCGTAGACCAACAATTTGAGCACAACAAGATCGTATAGTTTACGGCATCAATTAAGGATATGAAATAAAGGTCCACAATTTCTCACCTCTGCCGTAAATGTTCATAATTCACAGCGATTCATATACAGCGCAAATTTTGTCTGCGGAAACATTTGGTAGGTACAGGCGGTGAAAGTTGTGGAATTTGCATTGTACCAGTGTCGTTTCCAGACGGAAAATAGCTAAAGAGTCATCAGTTTGGGTTTGGAATGGTGGGCCACACAATTTACTCATGAGGGAAAAGAACAAAAATGAAAAGAAGTAAACAAAAACGTAATTGGTTCTGACCGCCCCCTTTTCGACGCGCAACGCCCCGACCCTGATAATTGGGCGAAAATGACTTATAGTAATGACGCTAGCGCTTCGACTTTACTCTTGAATCTTGACATGTGTGTGTCTGCGGGGGGGGGGGGTGCATGCTAAGGGGTGCGCATACTCGGTGACTTGAAAAGTGGATGGGTACGAGGGTGTGTGTGTTGGGGGGGGGTAATGGTATTGGTAATTCTCCTGGTCCAAAATGCGGGGGGGGGGATATCCCCTCGTACCCCGGAATTTTCACCAACACATAATTCCGTTGATAACTGAATTAGTTGGTACTGTCGTACTCCTAATTGAACATTATCAAAGGTGTGGATCAACGTATTTCTAACTGCTAGAGCGGCTATACATGAACATACATTTTGACGATTAAAGGCAGGTTCATGCTTCGTACTAAAACAAACGTGAACGCCAATTTTTGAGGGCAGATGAAGTATTCACGCTGCGAATTCGTAAAAATTGAACAGTTCAACTCAGCGAAATTTCGCTGCAAATTTGTCGTGATATCAAATTTGCTTCGCTTTCGCCTGCAGTATGAACCGGCCTTCAGTAGTAAAATGAGCTTGGGATTCAAAATTAATGGCGACCACCCACCTGTTCTTGTATCACTCATCTTCGTTTCTTTTCGCATGTGCATAATTTGAATTCTGTGCCGCGTAAACAAACTCCCAATCAAGCTTTTCCCGCCCATTTGGTGCGTGCTAAGTGTTATTGGGAATAACATAATTGAGAAGCAGAACAAGTCATTTGAAACAAAAAATACTCGTGGTTACACTTCAGACCCATAAAACACGGACACTGCATTTGTTCTGTTTTCTTTCAATTCTTCGTAGTTTCGTCAAAGAAGTCTATAATTTTTTTTTCACTTTGACGAGTTCAAGTCAGATGGACTAGCGTTTAGACAAGAAAAAATGGTGACCTAACGCCACACTTTTGTCTCATAAATACAACTTTTATTATTCCAGAACGAGCAAAACTTGTCAAGACTCTTACAAGTATAAACGTTTAGAAATCTGGGAACAAAATGTGGTTGCATTATTTTCACTTGCCGAGAGAGCTTGAAACTGTGTACGTAAACAGAATTAACACAAAATGTTACGGCCAAGCTCAATGCACATACAACCCTCATTTACTAAATTTGTTAACTGTTCTTTAATTACAACACGACGGTGATATTGCTGTAAATAAATTTAAAATAATTAAAATTGAACTTCTGACCATGATTATCTTATTTCAGATACTGCACCATTTTTAACATACATGATTTTCCTTTTGCTTTACAATCTTAGAAAATGCAATGGAAAATGTTAACCCTCTTCAAATACAGAGAAAAAATACATCAGATGATTTCAATAAAATCGTTGTTTGCGTTTGGAGTAAAACAGGCGAATGGTAAAGCTATCGAGCAATAATTTTCTACTTACTTTCCAGCAAGTCGCCGCACACGTATTGCTTGATTAAAGTTTCAGTGCACAAAAGTAGGAAATATTGGGAGTAAAAATATAAAACGAAAAGCTTGAGGTAAAACCTTACATGTTTCAGTTTGGTCAACATAACAACGAAACTGAAAGCACGTGCTGGTAGTCACCGGGGACCGCCATTTGTTTTGTTTGGTTTTACGACAAGAATATTTACTCTTCTCTTGAGCAAGTGGGCTAAGCGAGAACTTACTTGATAAAAAAAATGTAAAACCAGCTCCCATATTTGTGGACTTCTGTTTCCAATGAGGCCCCAGGTAAGGAAAAAAATCTTTGTACATTGAAAGGTTTGCTTAAAAAGTCTGCACCAATATTTAGACAACCGATTGTTCTCAAGGCATTATTCACGTAGTAAAGTAAACCTACATGAAACCAGAAGCCTTCCGGTTTTTCAGAACTATGTTCTACTTCTGTCGTTTCAATGATGAATTAGTTATTTTTGGTCCACTAGATAAACTTGTTTGTTCATGTGCGTTGCTTATCGAATAAAAGAAGTAAAAATAGATTTGAGACCATTTGGAGCTAGTAGGTGGGGGGGGGCTTCTAGGAAATAATAAGACTACACAATTTGCCACGCAGAAACTTTTCTCCCATCTCTTAACATAGATATTCCGCCTCCGTTCAACTACAAAGAAGTTAGTATCGTAATCCAGCCATTACAGGCTAGAGAAAAATGAACTACAATTAAGCTACTGCTTGCTATCCTGGGGTACAGTTGATCCAGTGTTGGCCGTAAACCAACTTTTGACTTGGCAACCGATTTGACTTTTGGTACGAGTAGACATTTACCTTGTCACCTGACCTGCAATTTTGACTTGGGATGTCACGGATTTCACTTGTTTACAAGACCTGTTTGATTCAACTTGTATTTCAACAAGTGAAAGTGAAATTTGAAAGTGTGATGGAAGTTGACTTGTAGTCCAACTTGAGTGATTCGTGAGATGACTTGCAATATGACTTCTGATTTAAGCTGTGATCTGAATTGACGAAATGGCAATCCGACTTGTGGTTGACTTGTGAGCTGATTTGTGATCTAACCTGTAATTTAACTCGAGATGTGTCTCGGAACTGACTTGTGGTCGGTCAGATTTACGATTGACTTGGGATCTAACCCATGGTCCCATGGTCTAACCTGTGGACTGACTTGTGACTGATGGGAACGACCGAATTACTTGCTTCTGTCTCAAAACTGACAATTCCCTCTACCTTACTAAAACCCCACGGAGAAGACTGTTTCGAATGAAATGCACTCAACCAAACTAACCATTCATTATCTCTCATTTTGCTGTGCTTTTCAATCCAATCTAGCAGTAATTTTCATTTAAATTTTCGGGTCCTTCCTTTCAAAGTAGGAGTAGAGCAAAATCTCATACTGAGGAGGTATGCCATCTGGTTTACTTGACAGTTGTGGGTTTGGAAGATTAAGGAACTTTCCGACAACAAAATGAGCAGGACTTGGGTTAACATGGGAACTGACAGCCATAACAATAAACTGCATTTCATATTCTTAAATAAAAAAGCATCAAGGTTATCACTTTTTGGAACGTGTACCTCAAGGTGATGTCATACAAAGTGGGGAATTTAATCGCACATTCAAACACCAAAAAATTAGATTTTTGTTCTTTAGACTGTATCTTCAAACCACCAACTGCATACATAATCTAAGGACAAAATGCTGAAACATTTCAACGTGCTTTACAAAATGTTTAAAGTGTGCATATGTAAACTGCCTTGTTTGCCATCCATGCAATAAATGATAATAAGGTTCAAAGCAGCAACGCTGTGTTTCACCCCGACTCTACTTCACTGTGTAATACAGGCGTTTCACAAGAGTACGCCTCCAATAGTTTGCAACACATTGGCCAATTACAATGCGTGAAATCTGTCAACCAATGCGCATTTGAGAAGGGTTGACAGATTTCGCGCATTGTGATTGGAGGACGCCTTAAGAACTCTTGGAGGTACACTATTGTGAGACGCCCATCACGGCTGGTCAGAAAATCGTGAAAACAAAAGAAAACAGCATCAAACATTTCTCAAGATCTTTTTTGGTTCTAACGTAAAATACACTGGATGTCTATATACACGCTGTACATGCTTTCATGTGATTTATGTTACAGATAAAATACTTTCCGATACCACTAAGTTGACGAGTATAAATTTCTTTCAACTATTTACAAGTTTCTCGCATTTTTTTTGCCTCGCTTCCAACTTTCATACCAGTGTTATATCTCATTTATTTACTGAGGCAAAAACCAAATGCTCCAAAAGAGATATGGGTATCAAAGTGATAATGAGGAAGTTGTGAGAAAGCGGCAAATCCACGCAAACTTCAGCTCTCTTGGCTGAGACGCCAACAGAAGGATCATTCATTTGAGTCCTGTGAATGTGTGCCTTCCAATTCTGAGAAAGTTTCTGTTCTGGTATGCTGTTTTCTAGAAATTGGCTCATTACTGTAAAAGGAAACAAAGTGCCTGCATAGCATTCTCGGCTGGAATAGGCTGTAACTGAGACAGCTTGCATACTTAAAGGCTTTGTTCTCATATGCAAAGGCCCTCAATCAACTGTGCATGGGAACAACGAAAATGTTTCTCATGGACATTTTGTTTGTCGCTGTTTTAGACATAGCTGAATTTCTGAGGGTGGCTGTCTTTCCGGGTGGGCAGGCTTAACTTGGTACCATCCAGGTTTGACGTGCTCTTCGGTTTGCTCAGCGGGGCGTTCGCTGGGGGTGTAGACATGGCGACCGAGGCCAGGAGGTTGGGGCTGCTGTTGGTGCGCACCCGCTCGCTATCCATCCAGGACTTCATGCTCTGTGGCTGCGAATCCTTGGAGGGCTTCCCGAAAGGCCGGAGCCGGTCGAAGGCACTGGGCTTGCGGGGAGGTTCGTTCGCTTTGTTCAGGTTGTACTCCAGGATTTTTCGGTACTCTGGTGCGTCCCTGCCCCCACCGACCGTGTGCCTACGACGTCGGTTCTCGCGATGCTGCTCCTTGATCGACAGGGTGTCCTTCGAGGTGGCGGCAAGGGCTTGAGGGCGCTGTTTCCGCTTGGGGGTTGGTTCCTGTACAGCCTTTGGCTCAGCCCGCGGGGGCGGTTCCGAGGATGGTGTCAAACTGGCTGGCAATTGTTTGCTTGGTGTGGGGCCCTTCTTCTCTAGGGTCAGCGTCACCTCGATGCGGCTCGTCTTGCGTGGCGTCCGGGTCCCGCGAGTCGGTGACGAGGTTGTTGAAGCGGGAGTGGAGGACGACTTTTTTACCAAATCCTCACTCTTAGGAGCAACGGAAAGTTCGTTGAACCGGGACGTCAAGGAGACGGGCTGTGCTCCACTTGAGGCGCCCCCTGTTGGTGTTCTGCTTGATATCTGTTTCAAATTTCGCATGTATGTCCCACTACTGGTCCGGACACGAAAGGCGTCCTTCTCTTCTGACCTTTGGTAAGGCGTGGCTACGTACACACCATCAACTGTCCGCCGATCATTGTGGGTTGCTTTGGAGGATGCTGAGCTCTTGTCTGACAATTTGTCATCCTCACTTTCCTGATGCACCACTTTCTGCAAGCGTTCGTCAAACGTCGCCTTCATTGCTTGGACAAAATCGCTCTCACTTTCTGACGCCGACTCTCTGATTTCCAGTCTTGTGCTGAACAATGGGTCTGACCGGGCAGAGTGGAGGGTTGTGTTGTTGTTGTTGGAGGAGGCTGTCGAGAAATCTGACATGAGGGAGTCTGTGTCCAGGGACTGGCCTGGCCGCCTGTCACTGCCACTGGGCTTGTCTTGTCGCTGCCCTTGAGATGCAAAATCGGCAATCTTGTTTGACACAGCAGATATCTCATGCAGGTAGTCCCGCGGTCGGTACAGCTCTTCCACATTCATTGCATCCTCCTTCTCATAGTCGCGCACAGCCTTCTGATGCTCCCGCTCTATCCGCTCCCTCTCCTTGGCAAATTCTGACTTCCAGTCCCGGTCTGGTGCCAGGGCTGCCTTTCGATTGGATCCCTGTGTCCTTGGAGCCCGGCTGCCGGCCCCTTGGGGTGGTGCTGATGCCTTGTTGCTGTTGTCTGAGGACCCGGATGGCGATCGTCCCCGGGAGCCATACTGACCATAGAGCCCCCTGGGTGGCTGCAATTGCTGCCGTGCTGATGCGTACGTTGGCAAGTTTGCCATAGACTCAGGGCCATACAAGCTCGCTCCTGCCTCCAAGTTGGTCTTCACAGAGTAGTGCGCATCGTGCCGCAGTGTGACCTTCACCGTGCTCCTCTGTTTGGTGCCCGCTACATTTGGTGGGTCTTCATTCTCGCCTACCTTGTCTGAAGTCTGGTTCTTGATGGCACGCACTTTGACCTCAGTATCCACGCCCTTGCTGGGAAACCCATACTCCGCCCCATCACTCTCCTCTGGGCTAGGCAGTGACTTCTTGGTAGATCGGCCCTTGAGTTTGCGATTAGCAGCCGAGATGACCGACGACATGAGTTCCATTGCATTGATTTCTTTGCCTTTAGAGGAATCACTGCCAGACTCACCTGCAGTGGTTACCAAAAAAAAAACACAAAAAAAAAACCCCAGGTATAAGACTGTTTTGGCTCACACAATTGACTCCATACAAAATATAATAACAAACGAAGAAGCACATACACAGCAGCATTTTATCCTTTGTAGACATGTGCGCTGTATAACACTTTCGCAAAAATTATCCACAAACGCACTGTGCCAATTCCGCACTGGCGAATGACCATGAAATTAGAACCCAAGGACCCGAGTCAAGTCCTCAGAAGCTTTAGTGTCCAAACGTTTTCAGGTATGTTGCGAAAACTCGGACGGGAACTATAGAAGGCTCTCAAAACAGATGGGTTCGTAGTCCACTGACCTGACTGATCGTCCTTCCGGGCCTTGGACAGTAGCTCGCTGGCATCCGAGGACATCAGCTCAGCCTCTGGCAGGGCGTCACTAGGCACGGCCTGCTGGCTCTCCACGTCGTCACTAAAGAACCATTCGCAATGCTGGATGATGCTCTCCACAATGCAGCATTGGTCCGACATGTCTGTCACCATGGTGACCATGCTGTTGTCGCCCGAGCGGATCAGGGTAGGCCCAAAGACGATGGCGAGATTGCGGACCTGTTTGAGGAAAAGTCAAAGGGACTTTAAACCACCTGACAACAATGTTATCCCCCGTCCCAGGTGCAGTATTATATTAAGCCCAAAATACCAACTTTTTAAAATGGGAAGACCGCAACTACAGTACAGTGCCTTACAAACTTGAACACTGCAATTGCTAACCCTTGGTGGTCATTTGTTCAAAATTTATGCAACATTTCTAATACTGCACTTACAGAGCACTATTAGTCACAATGCCTGCATGTGGCCCCACTTGAGGGCGACACACACACAGAGACTACATGGAGCCTGTGAGTTTGCAAGCTTAACGGAATCACTCGAGTGTAAACGACAAGTATAGGAAATACGCGAAACTACACAGAGACTTTGCCGGAATGCGTTTGGACACCCTTCATGTTTCAACACAGGGAATCCTTCCGTGTTCAGATGTCCTCTGGCCTGAAAAATGTAATAGTAACAAGGCACACATTGAGTGGAAAATGTCTCAATGTTCGGACATAACTAAAAGGAACATTCAGTCGTAGAAGAAAGATAATGCCCAATGAAGGCTTGATGTGGACTCCTTGATAGAACGCTTATTGCAAACCTGGTTTATACTCATGTATGCAGTCCCCAGAGCATGCAGTAGGTAATTATGTCAGGGGAAATTAAGGTCTTCTACAGATGTAAAGTCAATTTCCGGGAGATTTATTACAATTTGCCAATGCAATTAGTTTTATTGATTCAATTTATCAATTTCCTTTGGTTTGATATTGGTCTTCCTCCTTACTAGATATTTAGCAGGAAGGCTTCAATAAATATGATTTTATAATGTGACAACACAGCAAATTAAAATTACACACAGGAATCATTTACATCACTCAGCTAATTAACAACACTTCACATACATGTATCAATTGCCATTCATAAATGGGTAATTCCAGAAATGAGGGGTCCATTTTTTGTGTGCCCCTGTCACATCTGACATACGATTTTGATTTAATATGATTTAACATCAGGCTTTGATTTTGATTTGATATGATTTAACATCAGGCTGCTTAACTGACTTTGTTGCTTAATATCACCTCAGGTTTATTTGGCCTTTTACTCCTTAAAAATATTTGGTTGTATTCTCGTGTGATGATACTACATGTAGATCTAGTCTTACTGCCGTGTGTTTTTTGGCGAATATTTCTCTGGTTTAAATTTGTAACCACAGTTGTCTTTTATACTCTTTTGGAATGTAACCGTTACATGTATATTTGTGGTAACAATTCCGCAGGGCAAATTCAATGATTTTTTTAACAGGCAAATATTCCTTTAGCCTATGATGTTTGAAACAGTGTAGTCAAGACCATCACAAGACCATGTCCAAGACCACTCACAAGACCAGTCGCAAGTAACAGTGTAAACAATGACAAAGGAATGCTTTTGTTGCAGTTCATGTGAATAGCTTGTGACTTCAATTCAGACTGGAGGTCTTGTGCTGGTACTGTGAAGATCTTAAGTGGTTTGGACTACAACACTGATTCGAAATATTACAGGGTAATAAGGCAGCATGCAGTGAACTTTGACGCAGCTGGAATTAAGCCATGCATCGACACAAATTCAAACATGGTGGCTGAATGTTCGGAACGTGTTCTGCCACAGATGCCTGCTGTTGCTTGCCCAAGTCATAACAACAACAACAACAAAAAGCCTGACTTGCCTCCATCTTGTTGACTTCATAGTTCTGGGAGACCAGCCGCAGGTGGCCGGCCAGACACTTAAATGTCTCGTAATGGTGGTCGGGCAGGTTGTGGATCTGGCGACGCAGTGCCCACATGCGCTCGGCGGGCTCCTTGCAGCGGTTGGCAGCGATGAAGTCGCGGTACTGGTCCCGGGGGACCAACGGGTCGGGAAGCTTGCGGAAGAACATTTTGAGGAGGCTGCTGATCACATTGACATCACGCCACCTCTGTGGGAAAAAGACCAAAAAATACCCAGCATGCCAAAAGCTTCAATTAGTGCACATATGTTTACCGTACATACTAAGAAATGAGAGAAACAAGAGACGTTGAGATGGTGATGGTATCAGACAAAAGGGTCATTTTTGCTAACTCTGAGCATGTACACACAGGTCTGAGCATGTACACACAGGTCTGAGCATGTACACACAGGTCTGAGCATTGGCACATAGTTTTGAGTATGCAGACAACTGGTGAGACTTTTCAAAGGACAAGTATGTCTCTTGCCACCAGTGTCTCAAAAGTCTCCTACTGGACCGAAATGTGGCGAACCAAAAAATGCCATCTCAAAACCTTTGTTCTGCTGCTATCAGCTGTTGATGCGAAACACACGTAAGCCAGTGTCACACACACTCCCACAATTTAAATGTCATGGGCACAAGGCTGTGCTTAGGTTGTGTCTTCATTACAAGCTCTGCCAGGAAGAAGCTGGGTCAACCAAAAAAAATTAATTTTATGAAATGAAAATTCAGTTAAAATTCACCAGCAGATTTAGGGAGAAAACAGGGCAATGAAAAAAAATTTTGACAAATAATCAGGAAAAGAAATTTCTTTTCCAGGACCGTGTCACTTCCTTTCCTTGCAAAAGCCTATAAAAAGACACCCACAATTTAGTCCATCCCCTCAGAATGGCCTCACGTTTTTTTGGCCCCCTAAAACAAACACTTTGTCTGATCCCTACCCCCAAAATAAATTTAGTTCTCGACCTTCCTTGTTCATATATTGAATTATTGAAACTGACACGGCCCAGAATATAAGCAACTAGAGGGAAAGACACTCACGCTGTCAGTGAAGTCAGCCTCCTCAGGCCCAGACTTCAGCACCTCCTGCAAGTATGATACACCAGCCGTATTGCCTGGTACCCGGTAGATCCCCACGGTGTCCATGCCTAGCTCTTCCACAATGCCGCAGCAGATGTCCACAAACATGGGAACAAACTGCACACAAAGGACAAAAGGATGTAAAGACGTCAAGCACTTAAAAGCATGTAAAGACACACGGCCCAATTTCCTTAAGTTGCAAACAAGAAACTATTGCTAGGCCAATTTATCTTAGCTTAGCAAGAATTGGTTGTGAAACAGTTGCAAAAAATACAGACTGCTCAAGAATTTAGCTTGGTAATCTATGCTTTGGTTTGTAGGGTCTTGTCATCCATAGTCATTAAGGGTTAGCAACCTCACCTGTGTCAACAGAAAGTTAATGTTTTGGGCCAGCCTGTTTTGGAAAAAAGGGCATTTTGCAAGAATAGTTTGTCCGATTATCATGAAACTGGTCTCAAATTGACTGTAAGGCCTTGCTGGGTAAACTCCCGAAGGCCCAGTACGAAAATAAATCGCACTGTAATAATTTACAAGAAAAAATAAAGGCCCCATTTATCTCATTTGGCGCCTTCAGGGCTAGTTAGTAGGTACCTCATTGGTATCTGACGAGGTGCACTTCTCCAATGGCACGCCAAACGTCAAGCTCTTCAGCTCCTCGGCTGTGGGCTGCCCCCACACGGTAGCACTACCTCCGCCCCCTTTTTTCTTCATCTTGTGCCTCATCTTGCCCGCCAGGCCCGTGGACTGCTTCTTGGTGGGCTGGGGCTGCAAGGCCGGTGATGGGCTTCGGCTGTTGGCCTTCTTGCGGCTGTTCGGTGGGGACAGGACATTCTTGGAAGTCGCTGAGTGGGCAGTTGCGCCAGCGTCGTGGTGGTGCTGTGTCTTGCGCATGATGATGTCAGCGCTCACTATGTCCTGTTGGGCCAGGCAACCATTCCACACATGAAAGTTTACATACAGTACAATTCCGACCTGCTAGCAATTTACAAGAATGGACACATACACTATAGACTACCGATATATAAACTATAGCTTATTCAACACCAACTCCAACTTTGCTCATTTGAATTCAACAACTGTCATATTTTGTATGACTGTAATGTTATGACGTATGACTAAAGTTTAAATTTGATTATATTAAGTTGGTAAAACAATTTTACAAGATATTCCCCTCCCCCAGACGTGGTTTACTTACATCGCCGCCAGGCGTCAAGTTTGCCTGGATGGCTGTGATCCAAGCCAGCATTGTTTCAGTGTCGCTGACCTGCAAGAAATGAAATTAGGTCACCATCACAGCTGCTGTCATTTGACAAGCTAACACACTTTCAGACGGAAAGACGAAAATCATTTTCACCAAGCTGAGCAATAAATGGGCAGGACACAGATGGTCTATGATGACTAATATATTATACACACCAGAAAAGCTATGGTCGTTCTTGTCTGAGTTGCCTGATACAACGGAAGGAACATCTCTTGTGAAGTTGAATATACTAATATGCACCTGCACAGCACAAAAATCAGCCTTACACCATGTCTAAAATGAGATTCCGGAGCTGGGGCTATGCCTACTGCCAGCAAGTGCTCCTGCATTTGCAACTCAAGAAAGACATAGACTCGGCCCAGAGATAAAAGATTCAGATGTGTCTCTAAGCTAGGGGTACATGTATGATAAGTGTATGTTGCAAGTTTTGGGTGAATAAAAAAGGCCACGGGACAGAAGGGGGATCCCATACTTGCTGCCCTCTTAGTCTCGGCCTGCTTGCTAATTCAACACCTGACTATAATAATGATGCGGATGTATCGATTCAGTCAGTCACACCTACATGTAGAACTGACATACTATGAGTGATTGCTACACCAAAAGTTGTGTACAAAGTCTATGGGCAGTGTGTCACTTTGCGGTGCATCAAAAATATCGCATCCCTTTACCTCATGGTGAAACTGACAATTTATGAGGTCTAAATTAAGACAATTAAGACACTAAACTACAGCTAGGCCATGAAGTTGTTAGCTCAATATTAAGTCACCTATTTTGTTCTCTGGGCATCCAACTACATGCTATCTACCCATAAGTTGAAGCACTTTCATTTCATTCAAAGTTGTCTGCCCCAAAACAAAAGCCTGAGGAGAGGAAGCTGAGTAAATCTGGTTTCAATATCAGAGACAAGCCACAAAACAATGGATACAAGCCGAGTATTGAGAAAACCTATTGGATTTTTTTTTTACCTGGATGAGGTACTCGGAGCCCGTGCTGGTGCTCAGACGGAAGACGTTCTTCTTCTTGGTGTAGTCGTAGGCGATGTCCACCATGGAGGCCTTGATGCTGATGGGGTTGTCCTCTGCGCTCGAGGGGCTGGTGCCGGTGTCCCGCCTCTCCTTCAGCAGGTACATTGTCTTGTTCTTGAGCACCATCCAGACGGGCTTCCAGGAACGGTCGCTGGCACGCTGCACCAAAGGAAATGGAGCACATTTACCAGTACAAATACCAACTGTAGCACTTACACTGTGCTATTCATCGTGCCACCGATCCATACAAGCTACTGGGGAACAAACCAGACCCAATGGCCTGGCTTTGCCATTGAAAAGCCAGGCCACGCTCAAGTAAAACGAGCATCTTCAGGCTTTTTACTTTCTTGCTTTGAATAACACATTCTCCACTGCCAATCTCTTCTCTGTCAAGGGGCTTCTGGTCCCCTTGACTTGATAGAAAGCTCTAGTCAGCCTTGAAACAAGGTGTCTGCACACTGAATGCAGAACTGAACAGCAGCCGCTGACTCGGCTGAGGTGGGCAGGCAGGGCTTAAAATCCGACCAGGTCATCAAGAGGCCTGACTTTATTGATTCGCATCATTTCCATTTCCATGTAGTTCAGGGCAACAAAAATAAGATTACGGGCCAAAGGCCCAGGAACTGCCTGGCATTTCAGTGTCAGTCACCCATTAGTTGCATTTTGCTGCTTTATCGGGCAAGACCAATAGGCAGCTGGCATAGGCATACTTAAACACCAGGGTGGAGAGACAGGAAACTCACACCATGTTACTAAAGTGATAGATTTGAACCCCAGCCCCTCTGATTGAGAGATAGAAACGTTAACAACTAGTCCACACGTTCTCCAATAGTAACTCAAATTCCTCCATAAATGACTGCAAAACAACAACAATATTACATCATTACAGGGTGGACCCCTGAAAGTTAACTTAACCTTAACACTCCAGGGTGTTTTGGCTAGAAACCCTGCCAGACACATCAGTCTGTATCATCTGTCAAGACACCTTGCCTACCTGGTGCAACAAGATATAATCAGTCGACTATCCCCATGGTGGAATGACTTACATGTAGGAATCTGTGGTTAGCCAGGCACCACAGGATCCAACAATGGCATTTTTCAGTGGGACCAGCTCCCATTGTCTCAACATGGGTAGTGTTTACGGCTGGTGCCTATTGCCCAGCATGTCCAGTGCCATAACGTGCACCAGAGATTTACAACTGCTGCATCATATTGCGTCTGGCAGGGTTAAGGGTTAATAAAAGGAAGGGGCTCTACCTTCATAGATCTCATTTCATCTTTTTTACTTTTGCCCTTACCTTCCATTCTTTGACCTCCACCTTTATGCTGGCTGGACCCTCCTTGGTGACTTCGGGGTCTTGCCCGCCCTCGGTTGGCCCCACCGCCTGGCCATCGTTGCCACTACCGGTGCCTGTGGCGGCAGCAGTCGTGCCCGGCTTGTGGATGGCATCCACAATAATGGGAGTGCCCTCCCCGAAGATTTGCTTCAATTTGTTGATGCTGGGGTTGCGCCTGGGTGTGGCATTCCTGCGACTGATGAAATGAAAGGCATCCCAACTCCTGTTATTCGTGCCTTTCAGCCTTTCGCCTCAATTCTTTAAATTCCAAAATTCATTCAGACAGAATTCAACCCCTAATGTCTCCATGCATACACAGAAGAGGGGCACTTAGTCTTAAAAGCTGCAGAAATGCACATGTTTGTTCCAGGTGTGACAATAGTATGAGACCAAGAAATTATTGGGGAATTGAAGGTAGTTTTGTGCAGGAATAACGTCTGGATGGTTTTGGGAGGTTCTGAAATTCCTATAAAATGGGTTACAAATGACACTTGGACATGTGCTAAATTTCGAACCAGCTGAGCTAGCAATGAAACCACGATGAGCCTACAGGCTTGTAATCTTTACTTTTGCAAATTTGCTTTCACAGATCAGCTGGAATTGAATTCCCAGGTCCCTGATCTCCTGACATACTGAAGGATATACATGTACACCCTGATTGGCAAAGACTCCACGTGATTAGACATCACCAGATGGTAAAACTCATCTTCCTGTCAGAAGAATCTTATGACGGGTCTTGTGAATAGACTTGAGATGGTCTCAACTGCAACACTGGTAACAGAGCGTCAGACAGAGTTCAGACATGGGGGGGAAGCTACAAGGCTGAAATACAGAAAGCATTCAGCTGTGTGCATATTACTCGGCAATGGCTGGCAATCTTTGGGAGCCTCTTGCTAGCTGCTGCCGCCAATTCCCACAAGCTTGTGTATAATTTCCAGCTATAGCCATATAAATTCAATAAATTCTTCCTTCAATACTCACAGTACTACGGGACTACTGCCCTCGCCTCCGTGGGCAGACATGGAGGACAGGCTGGTGGTATCGGCCACCGACGAAGCATCCTTGGGCCCTTCTTCCTCCTCATCGCTGAGCGTGGCACGCAGGTAGGAAGTCCTCCTTACGAGACGCTGCCTGGACCCTATTACCGGTACATGGGGGGGGGGAAAGGGTTTGAGGAGTAAGGACACTTATATGTACAAGTTCAGATGCCACCATCCTAAGCAGAGAAATAATGTTAATGGCAACAGTGACCAGGTCTTTGGTAACGACGGGGGAAAAAATTGGCTGTAATGATTACACTGAGAGAGATAATGTTAATAGCGACAGTGATGACTAACAGAAACAAGTATAATTAAGATGGCGATGATATGAATATCATGAAAATGATGACTGTTGAGATGGTGACAGTGATGATAATTGTGAGGACTAGTCTGATGACAACAACAGGGCAAAATGAATGATGCACCGGTATGGCAAAGTTAATGAGAGGGGATACATGTACATCCAAATCTCTTCCTCAAACGTACTTGGCTTTAATCAATCTGCTAGACCTCCTCAGAATTTTTTTATGGCGATTACTGTGAATCCTTCCCAATTCTCCACTTGTGGTGGTACCCAATTGCTCACAGTCTTGGTAAGTAAACTTTCCAGAAACCATATTTGAGGGGTTTAAAATTTGGTTCCAATTTAGAGTTTGGTCTGGTAGGTTTAGGGTAATCATCACAAAGTCATCTTTGTTTCACCAGGATTTGATAGTCAAGGAATACTTGGAAATGTTTCGAAAAATCACAATTCACTCCAGAGTTGAAAAGTTGAACAGACATTGAGAGTCATATCCTCATCTAAATCTGAAATACTACCTCTTAAAAAAGGAAAATAACGAGAGTCACAATAAAGCATGAAAAGTGGATTGTGTGATGATGAAAAAGACAGTCACGATTTCATGGTAATGATAATGGGTATGTTGATAAAGATGATGATCGAGATGGTTTCAGTGGTGATGACTAAAGTGATGAGGAACAGAACCAGACAGGTTCTTGTTCTATAATCAGTTACCAGTCGTACAGGTACATTGCCGTTCTGGTTAGTGAAATTCCGAGTCAGATGTTTCAGTGAAATTCAACACAATCATGGAAAAAAAACACAACAATTGCCTGGATGTATACATATACTTTCATAAAGATTCAATAAAAGAGTGTTGTTTTTTTCTAAAGTACCATACTAGTACATGTACACAACAGTGTATCCAGTACACGTCACGCAAAAGAACACAATGAACAGGTTGAGCTGATGGTCAAAATGAATCCACAGTGATTGTAACGCATCTCTTCAATCTAATGAAATTAGATGTAGTAAATGTACTGTAAACTTAAAGAAACAGTTGGAAAATTAAACTCTGAATTAATCTCATGAGTTTACATTAGGGCATTTACATACGTGTATGTATACAGGTTTTGCAGAATGTTTGACATGCCAGCAGATGGAAACGGTAATTGTATTTTATAATGTAGTTTATTTTTGAATGAAGATGTATACACGTAATGTACTGTACATGAAGATACCACACCCGTCCACAGCGACAAGTATTAAATTCAAGACAGACAGCAAACACACTTCACACAAACTTGTCAGATGTAATAAGCACAAAAGCGTACACTGTATATTGGCAAAGGTTATTATGTGATGAAAGTATATGCATATATAAATTATAATCTCCTGTGGAATTTCTCAATACAATGTTCCTGTACATGTATAAAGGATATTAAGGTTAATTTTCGTTGACTTGTAAACTGACAGGTGTTTAATTGCATAATGTATTAAAAAAGTATTTCCTCTCTGGAACAAAGCAAAGAAAGAACCTCCGAGCACACATCACTGACTCATTGAAAAGAGATGTTAAAGGGCCTGTGCAAAGCAACCCTTTTACTGTTTTGCAGGCTCCCATTGAACGATCGCAGAAGTTGCACGTCCACTTCCAGTTCCATGTTTCCACATAAACAGCGGGCAATGCATGTAACTTTACATGTACATGCATGTGCAGTGTGTAGTGGGCGTGGTTTAAACTGAAGAGACGTCACACTTACGAACCGGATAAAGATTTCTACTTGTATATTCATGAACAAAACTGTGATGTCTTTCCAGGGACTAAACCTGAATGTTGCACTGATATGTGCACAAAGAAAAACATGAACAAAACTGTTGGAATTTTACAAATTTTTTGTGATAGTAAATTTCATTTTCTTTGGGGGTGATTTATTGCTACATGTACATATACATGTATGTAGGGTACCTGTGAGTGTAATGTAATAAACCAACAAATAACCCCCTTCTTGGAATTGTTTTCAATGAGAAAAAATTGGGGTTTGTAATTATATGTACATGCAGATGAAAAAATGGAGAAACTGAACAGACCACCCTGAATGACATTAGAGCAACAGCGCCCTCAGTTGTCCAGAAAGGCAGGGACATCATTTACTAGTATGTTCAAAAAAGTACACACACCCCAAAAGGATGTCAAATACTCTAGTACAAGTACCAGTACAGTATGTACACGCACATAGTTTTCATACACTGAGGCAGAGAATAAAGCTGCACAAAGTGCATCTACAATGTAAGTGAAATGCAAAAGTGAAATTATTCCACAACAAAATAAAAACTTGCAAGGGTACACTTTTGGGACAATCCCACTGGAAAATGGAAAATTTGTTGATGCTGTCGGACACGTACTTACATATAATTTCCGCCCCCCCCCGTTAAAACATCTTTTTAGTTTTCCAAACAACCCATTTTAACTACAAAGATGGGCCACGCGATGGCTCTTGACAAAAGATGGGCCACGCAATGGCTCTTGACAAATGACAGATCCTAACACTGTTTATAAATGATGATTAATAATTACTTTGGTACCGTATTTGTGGCCTGATGTCTACTTAGCTGTGGAACTGCTCTTTGTTAACTTGCAAGACATACACGTACAAACTCGTATACTTAAATTAATCTTGCCTGGCATTGTACAAATAAAGTACATGTACATACAATTACTTTGAAAAGGCAGAAATCAAAGGTTAATAAGCAAAAAACAAAATACATAAAAAGGAACAAGTTAAGGTTAACTTGCACAAGATTAAAATTAAACGCTTCTTTGGCAATGGGGTGGAAAATGTTCCCAATTCAAACCTTCATCGATCGACAGGTGGCGCCTGAAGGAAATGTTTTGTAGCTGCAGTTCGTGCATTCCTCTACGATTGGCACGGACACCTGCTTCTGAGCATGCTCGCGGACGACGAACCACCAACGACAGCACTGTACACACACATATATACCACACAGTGTGCCCAAGTGAAACACCAATCAAATTTCTCTGAACACTGCGATTATCCTCTCAAAACTCCATCAGCTTAAACGAATAACAGTACTCATGCACAGAGATGAATGCTTACAAAACAATAGAATGAGCTAGTTTGGTATTCTAAAAAAGCAAGGTCATTCGGAACAAAGCACGCATGAGTCCACCTTGGGATGCACTGATCTAGGAAGACCATGCATGCACTTCCGAATGACCTCAGATACACTTCATTTTGGGCATGTGCGATTGGAATGACGAGCAGGCTTGTTAAAAAATGGACATGTGCCACCATGAGTCTCTGTGCATAGAATCTGTTTGCTGGCTTGTCTGTTTTGATATCATTGGATCTATCTGTATGACTGGAAGAAAATCCAGACAGTGGAGTTTACAATTTCAGTCTTGACCAACAATACAAAAACCTGCACGTCCTCAGAGAACAACATATGATTTGCTCTTTACACTCTCTTGTTCTTGTAGTCACACGTTTTTCAGTTAGAGCTGAGGGACCCTGGGTACCTTTTCTTGAGTCCAAGTGCAGATCCAGCAACTTTTACTCAAGTTTAACAACCATGTGTCTCTTGGTGAGACTTCTTACTGAGCACAAGCAGAAGTATGTGAATAATTATGGCAGATACCATAGCCTACATGTATAGATAGAATAAACAGGAGTACAGCATCGAGAGATATTTAACCACTTCCG